GATCACATCTGCCTGTTACTGATTGTTCTGCTCTATCACTTCTTCCAACAACTTGGCAACAGTTCCCGCAGGTGGAGCCTGTCTGTGTCCCTCTGGTGCATGAAGCTTGGGCCAATCGACTTCAGATTCTACTGCAGAATTCTGGAGGCATTTCCAGGGGATGATGGAGAAAGAAATCACACGTTTATAATCTTTTCTCTTCACAAAGTCACTCCCCGCTTACCATCTCCTTGCAACCCCTTTCCCCCCACCCCCTTCAAAATGCTGGGAAAGAGCTTGGTTTCTAGCAGAGTATTGAAAACCAGGAGAGAGGATGTGAAGCCACAAGATTTTTGAGAGGGAGATCTAAGCCGCTGCAAAATGTAGTGGCTTTAAGTTCATCACTGGGTGAGAGTAGACAAGGGATGTGCAGCAGATCTGAGCTTGTGGAGCAGAGTGAGTAGAGAATCATGCTGGGGAATATCCCAGAGGTGAGTGGGGCAAAGGCTTGGATGGATTTGAAGTTCAGCAAAAGGATATTCAAGGCAATCTGTTGTGAGGTGGGGAGCCTGGAGTTATTGAGGCTGATGGGGATATCGAGCCAATGTAGAAGTGGTATGGGCTGAGGGTGAGCTGAGCTTGTAGAGGGAAAGAGTATCATTCATAAGTCAGCATTGACCCTTGTAACTCAATACATTCCATTCAGTGTTAAGTGGCTATACAACACATAAATTACCCAAATGCATAAATGACCACAATTCATAAAGATACCAGAGTAACTCGATGCCTCTTAAGATCTTACGGAATTGAGAACCAAGAATGTACCTGTCTGACTGAGACCACAACAGTTTTGATTAAACTTGATTGTATGTAAAGTTTCCGAGTTTACATTGTGCAATAAAATCAGCATTTCCAGAGCAGGCAAAGTTTCAGGAAAAGGTTTTACATCACAAAGTAGAATTGTGCCGGGTTGTTTGCAGCCTCGATAATGTGTGGGTTTTTGTTAGACCAAAGTTGCTGGATTATTGATGTGCAACTATAGCTTATAGCCAAATTAGTTTGCAAAACTAGCCGAGGAGTTGATTAAAAAATCCAAGAGAGAATTTGTCTGCGTTCGCTGACAATGCTGCTGAGATGGTTCTAGACTGTCGGCTGGAGTTCTCCAGTGTGTACCACAATAAGCCACACTCAGATCCTGCAGAGAAACCATAAATTTAATGATCGTTGATTTATTCTCTTACAAATGTTAAAACCGTTTGTCAATGTCAGTGCAAACGCTTTAAGTGCAGAATTTCTTCCGTTTGCAATAGACTTGTCTCATTCCTTTTAAGAGCCTTCAGATTTATTTGGGTGTTTTTTTTATTAAGAATGAGGACCTTTAGTTTGGGACCTTGGGATGGATTCTGGAGTGGAAGGAGATGATTTTAGTGTCTAGGCTCACATAAAACAGAAACGTTTATGGCATGCTGCAAGCTTGGACACAAAGATATTATAAAAATTGGAAATGTTCATTAATAAGGGTTTGTAGTTTTGCGCTATGTGAAGTGCTTCATGTATGTAAATCTCAGTCAAACGCTATTGTTAACTTGATACCTGGAAAATAAATGGAGGGAAAGATGAGACATTAAATGTCATAATTATAGATTGTCCTAGTCTATAACTTTACATGGTGCTACGCTGATATTCCACAAGCCAACATTGTAAACACTGGGATCTGTGGGGGCAGCGGGTTCATGGGATGCTACAAGTGGCTTTGGTTGCAACTTTGGTTTAGCAAAATTGAAAGGGAGGGAATAGGGAGCGATATTGCCAGTAATTGACTGGGACGTGGTAGGAATGAAAAGATCAATGGTATGATAATTATCACTGGTCGGAGAACATCGGATTGTACATTTTTCACCTCCATTAACATTTATTTCTCCACCTGGTTATGAATGTAATGCGAAACGATTAGGAGGCCTAGTCATTTATATTGCAGGGAAGCTGAGTACTGAAAGGTCTGCATCTCAATGCTGTATCTGTATGGCATTTTTGGTGAAGCCTGCCGTATAAATGAACAGGCTGGGGAGTGGTCTTTGGAGTTGTTTATTGTCAGTTTTTACAAAAACGTTAATTGTTGAATGAAGGTAATTGCGAGCAACAATAAGCCTAGGCAGAACGAGTCGGGGAGACTGCATCCAGTGGGGAAACCGCATGCAGGCAATTAAGAAGTCTGGAGTCCCTGTGCACAAATCCTCATGCGTAGAAAGCCAACTCCAACCTCAATCACGAGTCTTAAAGGATTTAAACTAATTTTAAATTTAAATTTTAAAAATAATAATTTGGTCACTCAATCCACGACTGTTTGGGGCACTGCTGTGTGCAATTGGCTGCCGTGTTTCGCTCACAAACTATATACAGTCAATTCACTTTACAGTATATTCTGTGAAGCGCTTTGAGACGTCTCGAAGATGTGATAAGGAGCTATATCAAATGCAAGGATTATTATTTATTTTAAGGCTCACGTTTGAGGTGGGAGTGTGCTTTCTATGCACGAGGATTTCTGTAGAGAAGTGGAAGGAATGCAGTCTCCCCTTCCCTATCTCTATCCAGGCTTATTGTTGTTCTCCCCCCACCCCTACCCCTCCCCAATCTCTGGTGCGAGATGATCCGGAGCCCACTGATGGGATTATCCCTATTGGTTCCACATCTAGGCCCTGCTTCGTACTATCTGTGTGCTTTTCGTTACTTGTCCACTATATATTTAAGAAGTCTTGGGAATTCCTGCATTTTCACGAATTGCATAATTTCATCGTCCTTTGCAGCATACATTCAGTTTGTGTTAGCGGGAAGTAGTGGAACAAGGCAATGTTCTGTCCGGGGTATGATTTGAATGTTAACTAGTGATAAAAGGCTAGTTGCTTTATCGTCCAGGAAAGCTGGGGGCAGAGGATGCCCTTTGATAAGCCTGCTTCAGTTCTGATGCAAGGTTCCTTTATTTTTGTTTCTTTCCCCCAGTTAATTTCTCCCCTGGTCGTGCAGCAATTGGCTGAGAGGCAACACATCCAGCCAGCCCTCTCCCAGCCCCCAGGCAGCCCTTGTCTGAAACAAGGCACTGAAATGTGCAAAGGCAGCCAAGAATCAATTCTGCAGAACTTAATTCTCTTTTTCCTTCTTCCTCTTCTTTGATGTCTCAAAGCGCCTCACATAATATACTAAAGTGAATTGACTGTATATTTTGTAGGCAAAACACAGCAGCCAATTGCACACAGCAGTGTCCCACAAACAGTCGTGGATTGAGTGACCAATTTATTATTATTTTTTGAAGGAATTATTACCTCCAGAAAAGCGATCCGCCAATCGACTAACAAACAGGTTCCTACTTACTGCTAGGTAAACAGAGGCGTGTGGAGTAAGGAAACTTGTCCAATGTTTCGCCCTGCCCGGAAGAGAACCCAGCTCTCTCACTTGTGATGCAAGTGCTCTAACCACTGAGCTACAGGACTCTGTGCTCTAACCACTGAGCTACAGGACTCTAACCACTGAGCTACTGATGATGCTACTCAGCATCTAAGGCTGCACTCTCCACCTCTCAAAGCCGTCAGGAATCTCGGCGTTCTGTTCGACCCTGAGCTGTCCTTTCTTCCTCATATCCGCGCCACAACTGGCACCGCCTTCCATCACCTCCGAAACATCGCCAGACTACGGCACTACCTCACCCCTCACGCTGCTGAAACTCTGGTCCACGCCTTTGTCACCTCAAGGCTGGACTATGGGAACTCTCTCCTCGCCGGCCTTCCGGCCACCTCCCTCCACAAGCTGCAGGTCATTCAGAACTCTGCAGCTCATGTACTGTCCTGCACCAGGCTTCGGGACCACATCACTCCCACCCTCGCTCGCCTCCACTGGCTCCCCATCCCCCAGAGGATCGAATTCAAGATCCTCATCCTCACCTACAAGGCCATTCACGGCCTTGCTCCCTCCTACCTCTCCGACCTACTATCCCCCTACTTACCTGCCCGTACCCTCCGTTCCTCTGGCTCCGGTCTGCTCTACACCCACCGCCCCAACCGCCCTACCATCGGTGGTCGGGCCTTCAGCCTCTCAGCCCCGAGGCTCTGGAACTCCATCCCCCAGTGCCTTTGCCGCCTCCTCCCTTTCCTCCTTCAAGGCCGGTCTCAAGACTTTTCTCTTTGACGGTGCCTTCAGCTCCCCTCTCGACTCTCTACCCCCTTCTCGCTCCCTCCCTTCCCTCCCCTCACCCTGACCATTTCCCCCCAATGCTCGGGTCCTGACCCAACTGTACAGCGCCTTGGGACGTCCTCCCGACGTGAAAGGCGCTCTATAAATGGAATCTTATTGTTGTTGATGCACCATATGTGCTGAGTGACTGTGAGTTGGCAGGTCCTGCAGGCACCTGTCCTCCAAACACAATTGCAGTGTGTGGCGGGGACGAGTGTCACAGTAAAGAGCTCCTTATCGCAGACACCCAGTCAAGTTAGCCTTAATGTCTATGTAAATATCAATCTCTTAAAGAGGATAGAACCTTTCATTTTTCTGCAAATTCTGTAAGTTTATTATGAGTGGACTTGAAAGAAGGTGTGGTTTTGTTGGAAAGCGCTGTTTCTCCTCGCCTCCTCACACTAAACCAAGGTTCCTGTTGGCCTGTTCAGGGGCTGGTAAAGATCCCATGGCACTATTCAAAAAGAGAGTTTCTCCCCGGTGTCCTGGCTAACAATTCCCCAAATAAAATTGGTCATTTGCTTCTTGGCTGTCTGTGGGCCATTGCTGTGCGCTAAATAGGATGTCCCGTTCGCCCATAAAATAGTCACTCCACTTTGTAGTATATCGCTTTGGGATGTCTTGAGGATGTGGTAAGGCACTGTAGCACCATCCCTTGCTATTGAGATGATTGATGATCACTATGATTGCCATAGTGGGTGTAGTGACAGCCTTTTGGGGCCTACGTTTTCTACAAAGCTGGGTGGGTTTGCATTATTGGGAGAAAATAAAAATGACTCTTTTGCTTTCACTGTTTGCAGGCTCTTCTGCTCTGCCGAATAACATGATGTATTTTGGAAGCTCCCAGGATGACGCTGATGAAGTAGAAGAGGACGATGAGTGTGAAGATATCAAAACCCTTGCAAGTAATGCTTCATCCTCATGCCATTCAACACCTCGGAAAGGGAAACCGCAGGGAAAACAGATCCTCAACGGTCATGGTGAGCCCACTTATTACTGTAGAAATGGGAGTTCGCAGGAGCTCAATGTTGGTGGGTCACCTTAATAATAATGCTCCTTGCATTTATTTGTAGTACCTTATCACATCAGACTATACTGTAAAGTCAATTGACTGTATATTTTGTGGGAGAAATGCGGCAGCCAATTGCGCACAGCAATATCCCACAAACAGTCGTGGATTGAGTAACCAATTATTATTGTAGTATTTCTACAAGAAAAAAAATGTTGACTGTACACAGTAATATGGACTGTGGGAAGTTTTATCTTGAGCGGGGATGTAACTGCGGAGGGTCACCTTTATACCTGGTCTAGAGTCTTCAATCAGTCAATGGTAGTTTGGGGACAGGCCACAGGGTTTCTATTTAAATCTACCAACCCCTCTCTTTACAATCTCCCTCTTCCCTCCTTCCTCTCACTCCACACCCACCCCCATAAAGCTGGCGTTCATTAGAAGTAAGATAGTAAAAACAGCGGCATAGAAGCAAATGTTTGTATCAATGCCAATTCATTTGTATGGTAATGGGCAGCTTGGTGTATGAATTTCGCATCGGAGAACCAAGGATGTGCTTGAATAGGGCATAGAAAGTGGATTAAGGCATACGGTGATAGCCATAGTTCAAAGTGTTTTACTAGAACCTGCGTTTTCTTACACCAGTAAATAGATAGCTGCTCATGTGGCCCTCTTTAAGCCCCTTTGTGAATTTCAAGCCATGCTTTTAAAATTCTGAACCTTAGGAATGAATGCAGCTTAAAGGTGAATTGAATCTTGTAATTTTAACTGGGTTTCTAGATTGAGTTTGCCATTGAATCTCCGAGGGAGGGGAGGAGGTGACCGTAAGCATGGTCATGATCTAAAGAGGGGAGGGGGGGGGGGGGCAAAGTGGAGGGATTGACGGTGAGAGTCCAAAGCTAGTGGCTGAAATTGCGGCCACTGATGCTGGATCGGCGGGGGCGAGGGACGAGCAGGAGGCCGGAGCCAACCGAGTGGAAGCAGCAGGTAGTGGAGTGGGGAAAAAACAGGTCAGAAGGGTAGGGAGGTGTGACGGCGTGAAGGGATTTGTAGACGAGTGAGAGGATCTTGAAATCTTAACCGTTCTGTGATAGGGAACCAGTGGAGCTTGGCAAGGTCTGGCGTGATGGGGGTAAATAGTTTAGTGTAGATGAGAATACAGGCTGTGCAGAAAAAAGCTGTGGAACGTTCGAGGCTGCGCAGACAGTACTGGCGCCTTTTTCAGTGATGCTCATGTTGGGTTTAGGAAGTGAAAGAGAGTAGTGGGTGGGGTGAGAATCATCTGGGCTCCGCTCAGCATGTTTTTGTTGGTGTGTTTTTGAGAACTACTTTTTAAATAGAGTAGGATATGTGTCGAGACTTTTAAGCATGTGTAGTCAATCTTTTTGTCCATTTAAAACCAAATGGAAATCGCTCCTGGGGTAAGAATTGGATCAGATATAGTGTCATAAAAGTGGGAAGAAAGCTCCCCCCAAATGCCCAGTGGATAAGACATTGCTCAGTGCAACACTTGACCGTGCAGAATACACTTACAGAATAACTTGCGAAGCACAAAATGCAGTATTATTCCACTGTTTCTCTTCATGATCCGCCTTATCACTTCTCTTGTGCTAATTCAAGGACCTTTACATTAGTCATATCTTTACCACTAGCCTTTATGTTCAGTCTATTGTGTTTAGCCAAAGCCTTTGCAATGTCCTGAGCTCTGATGTGTGAAGATGTTCCTTATCGTTTGACTTTTAATCTTGTTGTTGTTGTCAAACATTAGTTGTGTTAACTCAGCTCACTGGGCCGCACTTGACCTGATGGGTATGTGGTCAGCAACAACACAGGGCTTCCTTGCCCCTGTAGTTCGTATGTTAACAGATGTACAAATTATGTTTTTAATAAAAAAAATGTAGCTTTCAGTACACTAGGCCATTGATCTAATTTTCTTCTTGGGAACCAGCCAAGTAGTATTTAATGGTGAGTGTTGTAATGTGAGAGCTGAAAGCACCAGGGGATTGGACTTAAAAAAAAGTGTCATGCTAGCAAGACATCATCCATTTTCAAAGGAGAATAGCGAAATTTGGGGTATTTAATATTTTGTGTCTATATAATATCAGATTTCTTTTTGTTACAGTCCTCTGCGGGAGCAATAAGAGAAAGATGAGTTACACATGGCCTCTAACTTCAATCTCCCATTGGTAGAACAGTCACAGTGGGGATTTAATGTCTGCTAAATCTTTTGTTACAGGAAATTCATTCTAAAGATTTAGTGAAAAATACGTTCAGCAATTGATTAAGTTGGGTCCCAGTGTTCAAGCTCTGATGGAATTTATCAAGCTTGGATGTCTAAAATAGTGATTGCTGATACAACTGCTAATAGCTTTTGCACTTTGAATGGGGCAAACACTTCATGCTGCAGCTTGAATTGAGTCATTGGAGCCTTTAACTAGGGTGCGTTACCTGAAGCTCCCAACTTGGGTTCATCAAATATTTTCCGATCTCTCAAGGGTCATGTGTGCCTGGAGAGGTGGAAGCTACAAGGCTTATTTATTCCTGTTTCCTTCCTCGTACTTCTGTTTGTCTACAATTGTCTACTACTTGGTGATGTTTAGTCATTGCTTTATTAGGAATGAACTGTTTCCAGAACAGTTAAAACTTAGCAGTGCAATAGCATTTCCAATTTCCTCATTGATACTTTGGTGTCAATTTTATCCCAATCAGCCCTGAAAAGATAGAAAAAGCATTAGGGATGAGCGCCAAAGCAAATTTGGGACTATTTGAGTTTATTCACGCGGGCACATTTGGGGTCTGTTGTGCTCAAACCCAAGTATTTGAAGAAGGCCAATATAAAAGCGTGGAGAAAGCAGGGAACTGGGTTTGGAACAGTGACCTTCAGTGGAGGAGCTGGCATCAGTATAGCCTAGATGGTCTTAAGTTATCTCCTGTACTTTTGTGTCTATGATTCTTTATGTGAGAGATCCATAATGATGATCTATTTGCTGTAATGCTGACCGATTCGACTTGCTTCTATGAGGCGAGAATTGATTTTAGTCATGTTCAGTTAGACATTTTTAAAGAAAAAATGAATAGCTTGGTTATGGAGGGGTGGGTGTCAGCCTGGCTCAGTTTGTAGCATTTCTCGCCTCTGAATAGACGGTTGTGGGTTATAAATTAAGTATTGATTGTGTTTGTATGGAGCCTATAGAGAGAAAGTCTATACTTTGCAGGGGCCAGATTTGGAAAGAGGAGAAGAGAGGAGAATACAGTAATCTAAAAGCATCCGATTTCCCATAAAATGCAAGGCGGTAAAAGTTAATGGAAATTGAATAGTGAAGGGCTTTATTTCAGCTTTAGTATCGAGATTTGAGACAGCACTAATGCTTATTGAGAGAGGTGAAAGTGCAGCCCACATGTGGGTCGACGAACACTGGTATGAACAAGGCAAGAAGGGCCTGAGCAGAAGAGGTAACTGTGATTAAGCTGTCTTTAAGTACAGTATGTATGTATTATTATGGAGGAAGGTAGGAGGTAAGTCTTAGAGTTCCAGTGATTGCCTGGTGTACTGTAAACTTCTAGGGCTGCAAAAAGTTTAGTTACCTTGTGAATGGATCATCTTGAGCTGCTATCTGATAATGAATTTAAGCAGAAGGTAAAAGAGGAGTCTGTAAGTAACAATGGATTGGCCATTATAAATAATCCTTGCATTTGATAACGTGCCTATAATGTTTACATGTCAAAGATGATTGCTGTTAAGTTTAGTGACTGTAACTGTAGGCAAATGCAGCTGCCAATTTGCACACAGCAGGACCCACAAATGCACATTAGATGAATGACCAATTTATCTGACAGTTTGTTGGCTACAACACTGGGAGAAACATTTTTCTCTTTTCAAGTAGTGGCATGGAACCTGCACAGACAGATATGACCTTAGTTTAGATTGATCATCGGAAGTACAGCATGTCTGGTGATGCAGCAATCTTCAATACTGCCCTGGAGTGTCAGCCTGGACTGTGGGATGGAGGCCTGACATGGCGATCAAACCCACAAATGCGATGACACGCAGTGAGAGCTCTACCAACTGAGCCAGGCCGACACCATTGCCGCAATCTGATCTCTCAGCAGTTTAGGTTGACCAGTTGTGTAGGTTTAACCGTTGAGTATGGGAAGTCTGTTGGATGGAGAGCTCAACCAGAGTCTTCATTTATGATTGCTTTCCAGATTCCCCCACCCTAAAGCTGGACAGTATGCCTGTGCAGACGACACTGGGCTCGCCTGTGACTAATCTGCCGACACTGAAGGAGAGAGTGAATCCTTCTGGAGGGGGAAAAAGGAAATTACTATTGCTTTTGTCACTTTTTAAAAAAAAATGAATATCAGTCTCTGAATTCTGTTCAGTGTACCTCTAATGGAGATTGCTTTATCTAATACCTGCATTACAGACTTATTAAGAGCACTCTCTGGCAAGCTTCCCACTGCTTGCTAGACCACTCTACCCATTAGGGCTTTGCCTTGATGGGTTAACAGGAGCTAAGTCGGAGGATTCCCTGCCCCCAGAGACTGGTTTGCCCCTCCCAAGTCCTGCCGATGAGCCAGGCCGGCTGTGCTGTCATCAGTAGTGCCCTGGAGTATAGCGGATCCTCCTGACTCAGGAACCGGACTATTGAGACGTTTTGACTCAATTCTGACATTCCGCTGCCTTAGGGCCAGCTCAGCCCCAAGGAAACCTCCCTGAACTCCCCCACCTCCAAAGGATAGTTTCCAGAATACTTATTGGGTCAAATATAATTTGCCCAAATATTAACTTACAGTAGTTTGCTTTGGGTTGAGCTTTCAGCATTTTAGCCCCTACTTTCTGCATCTCCATCCCAGAGTCCCTTCCCTTGCCTCCTTCAATGTCCGTCTTGACCATGTCTTAGATCATCTTTCCTCCTTCCACTTCCACCGCCTTTGGCCTCTCTGAATCGAACCCACCCACCCCTCCCTCCAGTTTGGATGCAGTGCTTTAGGACATCCTCTCAATGAAAAAGGCGCTATATAAATGCAATTTGTTTTTGCTTGTACCTATCTAAAGCAGCACCTGTTAGTTTTGTGCAATGCGAACAGTAAAAATACAGCTCCTATTTTTCTAGTTGGAACCGGCTGTAAAACAATATCTTGTTTATTGTGAAGGATTGGTTTATCTCTCACCTTGTGCTTATAATGGAGTTATTAAAACCTAGTGTGTTGATATGTGATGGCACTGTGTGACATTTTTCCACAGAGCCTTGTAAATGTGTCCATGACGCAGTCACTTGTTATAAATTCTACACTTTTGTTGTTCATCTGAGCTTAACGTGGGCTTCTCCTTAGCTTTTCACTCTTTTTTCCAGTTTTGAATGGTTCGGGGAAGCTGTTGAGAGAAAAGGATTCTGTCCAGAAACACAAAGGCAAAGAGGCCACACCAGGGAAGGAGAAGAACAGCGACCAAAAGGTTGAGTGTAAGAAAGAGCCATGTTCAGCAGCCAGTGCTGCTGACTCTTCTTCACAACTGGGCAGCTCAACAAAAGGCCCTGCTGCTAACAGCTCAGCTGTTACTAAACCATCTCAGGAGCTCCGAACACAACAGGTATGGAAATAAACACCCAGTCTGTTCACCCGAGACGTCTGCAGCACAGCAGACTGGAACAACTCAGGTTTTGTTGCTCCCAAAGCACCACCGTTAGTTAAGAGTTAAGCTGTTCTGTTTCATTTGGCAACTGGTCTGTTCTAGTGGCAGTCAGCGGTGCCCTTGACTTCACCAAAACTGCATTTATGATGGTTCCACAGTAGATAGGTTCACAAATGGGCCCTGGAGTATGATGTGTGACGAACCCCTAAGGTCTGTGGCAGCTCTAATCTGAGCTCCTGTGGTTATTCTTTAATATGTGCACTCAAATTCTTGGAGAGGTAGCGGCGCAAACGGCCAATGTTTTGGAGGCGAAGGAAAGCCGAGCAAGTAAGTGCAAGGTTTGGTGGATGGTCAGGGATAGAAGAAGAGCTTCCCCATCAGCTTGGCAAGGTGGAGTGAGCATCGATGTCTGATACCTGAGGATAAGAAGGTGCGAGAGTCATGCAGGAGAGCGTCTGCCATGGAGTATCTGTGTACATTAGTACTGTACGTGAGGCCCATTGGTGAAGGAATGCTCCTTTTATATTGGACCAACTGTCCTCTGCTTGACAAGGCCCCTTGTATAGTTGTGGTGGTGGGGGAAACTTGGAACTCCTTCCTTATCCGCAATACTGTCAACATGTTTGTGAAAAATTGAGGAAGGTCCTTTGTGCTCCATACTTTCCATATGGTTTTGCATTGTGTTTCCAGCACAATGTGGGAATACAGAGGGAGTGCATCTGAAGGAAATGTGTGTGCAAATGGATTCTGTACTTTATGTGAATGTGCCAATGATAAATGACACGTAACACAGACCCCACTTTAACACTGTATTTTTCAGGGAGGGAAATGGGTACAAATGTAACTTTTTTCAAGGAATATAGTGGGAGAAAATTGGGGTCTTAACCAGAAAGAAACAAACTGATGACAGAATGTCCAGTGCACTACCCAGCGTGGCGCAATAGCACACTGTGGGGTCCCTAAACCTTGGCTCTTGCCAACCTGTGCCTAATGCTGAAATTAGTTAGGCAAGATGAGTCCCTCCAGGGAGAGAGTGAACATTCCAATAAATATCTCTGTCATTTCCGTGTGTAGGCGGCATACATGGAATTCTCAGCTTGGTTTGGATATTCTTAAGCATGGTGATGGGTTTTCGCATGCGTCAGACACCCGGCTGACCAAAACAAAGCTGTCCAGATGGGAAAGATACAGGTTCAAAAGCTGGTGTGTGCTGGATTAGCTAGGCTCTATCAGGTTGGCAGTTGGGATGCTATGTTTGTCTCTGTTATCCTGGATTGAAGGGGTGGCGGAGAAATAGGCCAAGGTTTCCTGTTCCTCTTCACTGTCCAGTAGAAATATACTCCAGTAGAAGGAAAAAGCAAATTAAGATGCATGAAGATGAGGGAATAGAATTGATGGAGAAACAAAATGCAAACTATGTAGTTGGTAGAAGGATACTTGTGGCAACAATAACTGATTTCCAGATTATCAGGTTGCCATTGATAACATTTGCTATGTATGTGTAGGAAGCATTGTGTGCAGCACGTGTGCTATGTGCAAAAAATGCCTTGGATGCCACTTTGTCAATAGAGTGATGTCAGTGGTGGATCCTGCACATAGGACAGGAAGCAATGGTGGTGACCCAACAACCTGGAAGTCGGCTATTTTATCCATGTCCCTTTTAAGAATTTGGACCCAGACGCCTGAGCTAGTACAGGGTTGCCCTGTATTCAGTCTCTCCACTTACTACCACACACAATTCCACCACATTGGAAGATCCTGCCAACTTTGATCTGTGTAATATGTTGACCCACACACAACAGCCTGAAGTTTTTAAGAGGTGTCCTTGATAACAAGCGTGCATGCTCTGCGGTGCTGGCATTTATAGTGAGGAATAAATCATGGTGGAGTGTAATAGCGAGAAGTGTAACGTAAAATGATGGGTTCTCCCCATTCAGTACTGCTACACACGGGCTTTGAAGTTTCTACTGTTTTGCCTTTTAACTAACGGAGAGCTGGAACCATTTTAGTTGCAGAGAATTTGATAACCAGAGAGAAGAATAAGAAGACTACACTATTTCTTGTGCATGTGTATCCAGGATTTTTAACTTGGTTGTTCACCTATCATAGCACTACTTTGTGAAACTTCCTGCAAATACTGTAGTAACTGTAGGGATTGAAATACGTTTTATTGAAATTCTGGTTGTGGGTCTGCCAGACATGTCCACTGTACCAAATGGTTTCCTTTGTTTAAAGGTTTACTGACTCTCTCCTTTCTCTCGTTCCCTTTCTCTCCTCTTCCTCCTCCCCCATCAACCCAACTTTTTTGATACAAGAGGCCTCTGTTAGAGCATTGCAGCATATGGCTTCACTTTGTGCAGCTTGAGAAACGACCTCATCTTTTACAGGCATATATAATGTGTGGTTCTAAATTGAGCCACTCGTTCTAACATGGGGACGGACGGACGGACGTGTGTGGGTGGATGGGTGGTTGGGGAGGGTGGGAAAAGGAGGAGAAAAGAGAAGAAATGATTCGGAGCACGCTAGTTGTGGTCGTATGGGGAAGGGATTGTCTGATGACTCAGTGGAACGGAGCCACTGCCAGTGTGGAACTGAGCCGTACAGACCAGGAAGGCTGTCCGTGGCTCACAGCCTGCGTGGGACCACAAATGAGGAACGGCCGTCTAGGCAGCTGACGTACATGTGAACCGTACGCCACAGTGAGTCAGTGCTTCTAGTGGGGGAGGAAGGAATTGGAGGGGGGACAAAATAGTTTTGCCACACATCAAATTCTCTCTGGAACATGCATCTCAAATGAGTAAGACTGAACGGCAGTTTGAACATGCAGCTGCAGCATTGTACACAGCGAGGCTGCAGACCGTGAAGTGACCTTTTTGCAGAAGTGATTTTTTTAAAGTTTCATTTGCTGATAAGGAGGGGAGTGTTTTGTGCTGAAATGTTTTTAGGCTAACAGAATAAAATGTACCCTGAAACCAGATTTGTTTTTGTTGCTCACTGGTTATCTCGAACTACTTAGGAGATGTTCACTGGGTTTATTTGCATGTTAACATGAATTTTAAGGACACCACTGGTCAGAAATTCCACCTGTGTTCGTAAATACACATTAATTATAAGCCTTTTTTGGGTAAGTTAATTTAGTAAGAATTACAGAATAGCAGCTTCAATTTGAGACTGAATTCAACAATCTTGCTACATTCTGGTTGCTCTGAAATGCTGCATAAATAGAGCATCTAGAGCCAGGTGGAACTTCTCTCTGCACATGTGCAGAATAATAGAGGAACTATTCATGAGTGGCTGTCTTTGCCATGGAAATGACTGCTCTACAACTTGTCCTTTGGATGCGATGCCAAACCGAGACCTCCTGCCTGTTCAGGTGGACATTAAGGATTCCATGGCACTATTTGAAAAGAGAAGGGAATTTCACCCAGTGTCCTGGCCACTGATGCTCCAACTAAAATAGGTCATTCACTTCATTGGCTGTTCGTGGGACATTGCTGTATGCAAACTGCCTGTTATGTTGGCCTACAAGTACAGTCACTGCACATTACAGTATATCCTGTAAAGTATTTTAAGATGTCGTCCCGACGTGAAAGGCTCCATATCAAACGTAAGGATTATGTATGTCATATATAGACTTGGTGGTATTTTCCGGAACCTTGGACCCTGAAGGGTGACTGTTGAATGGTTATTGAGCTCCGTTGTGTTGTGGCCCAGGGTATTTTAGAGCACAGCAGAGCTGCAGGTGGATTGTGGGCCCTATTAAACAGCCTGGATTGCAGCAATCCCACTGCTGGCTCTCAAAGAACAGGATTACACTCAAAACTGGTGTCTGTGAGCCAGCTTGCAAACTGCTGCAGATCAAATTGTTCTGAGTTCAATGGCGTGGAAATGATTGCTCTGCGGCTCGGCACTGCGTGGGGGCAGCATGAAAGGCTTGAGGATAAACCCTTTTCTTCTAGTACAAGATATGAGAATCGACTCTGCCAATTATCTGGGCTTCAATAAACTTATGGCGCAAAACTTGAGAGCTTCTTGTTTAATGCGTCATTATCTGCAACAAAACCTATATGCCTCAGTAACCTCCCAGATGAATAGGCCACCCATTACTCTCTGAAAATATCCCTCTTGTGGGCAGCCTGAAAGAGCTGGTATGTCATGCTTTCAGCTGAGCTTTTGTCACAGACTGAACAAAGGTACAAAGCACCAACTATCTTTTTTTGCTGAAACATCTGTAGCAATGTGGTGAGGAACCTCTTAAAACAGGGCACTTCCTGACTTGAACTGGAACGGACAGCATTGTTTTTCATAGCTGCTCATTTCAGGCAGAGGTGGACAGGGGTTTTTAACTCATTTGGAGTGAGTGAAAGCTGAATCAGAATTGCTGGTTCAAAAGTGCCATTTTGGGGTTAAATAACTGAGCACAGAGATGTATTTGCTTATTCTGTTTTTTTCCTAAAAGAAAAAGTTAAGTCGATTCAGTTCATGATTTATCTTTCCTTTTTTTAAACAAGTGTATTGCAGTAGCACATATTCCATGTCCCTTCAGAACAGCTTTGCTTTTGTTAACGTTGTTCCCCTGCCAGCCCTGTGTAGGTGCGGCATTCTGAAGCTTCCCTCCAAAGCCTTGTCTTCCTGCACAACGAACCATGTATAGCAGCAAGCCTGTGAGAACTTCAATAGTGAGGTGACTTCTCATACACTCCCTTCCAAGTGGCACCATCTTAGATTCATACTCTGCATTTTGTTGATTGAATTTCAAATCAGTTCATTCCCTCGCACCTCCCTACCTATCCAACCTGCTTACACCCCGACTCCACCAACTGCTGCCTCCGATCGGCTGGCCCCAGCCTCCTATTTGTCCCTCGTGCCCTCCGTTCTACCATCAGTGGCTGTTTCCTCAGCCACTACGTCCCCAAAACTCTGGAACTCTCTCTCCCTGCCTTGCCCTCTCCCTACCCACCTTTAAATCCCGCCTAAAGACCTTCCTTTTTGATCGTGCTTACGGTTACCTCCCTCTCCCCTTGGCTCGTTGTCAGACTCCGCCCCTGTGTAGTGCTCCGGGACACCACCCTGCATGAAGATTGCTATATAAAGCAAGTTGTTGAATTGATTTTAACTAGGTTGGTGGTGGCAGGGAAGGGAAAGGTTTCAACTGGGCTCTAATATATGGGTATTTCTAATTTGACCCAGAAAGAAGGTCTCCTCTGGTAACCAGAATTCCATCAAGTCATTCCATGGGAATATTGTTCAGGATGTAGATTGTGGTCAGCATGAAATTCCTATGGACCAACCTAATATGGAGTTCCCACTTTGCTATTCCCACCTTTGGTGGTAGTAATAAATAATAAATAATAATTGCATTTGATATATCCTTTTACTACAGGAGGACATCTCAAAAGTGCTATACAGGAATCACTGTAAAGTATAGCAACTGCACTTTTGAAGGCAAACATGTGTCCAGTATTGTCCCACACATGGCTATGAAGCAAATGACCAATTTTATCTGGAGGATTGTTTGCTAGGATACTTGTAGGGGGAAAACTCCCTTTTCTTTTGAAATAGTGGCCATCGGATCTTAACGTCCACCTCAACAGGCAGATGGGACCTCGGTTTAATGTTTCATCTGAAAGACAGCACCCCTGGTACAGTGCAGTAGTTCCCCTAGCATTGTATTGCAGTGTCAGCCTAGAGACTAATCGAGTTCAAAATCTTGATGCGAGGCTGAAACCCACAACCTTCTGACTCAGATGTGAGAATGCTACCAACTGAGCCAGGCTGACACATCATTAAGGTCACACACCAAATCAGTGAAGATTTATTTCCTCAATCACATAGAAGCCACAGCCTCTGACTCAGTTGGTGAGCTGGATATTCGACCCCTTCTTCTAATGTCCTGGGCAGACGATACGTGAAAAGTGTATTTGAATACTGTCTGTGTCACTATGATGTTCCTTGTGGTTCAATAGTGAAATGTTTTTGGTCCACCAGGTGTCTGACATATGCAGAAACTCATCACCATGCTTAAGATTATGTCTGGAATATTTGTGCACTCTCTCCCTGGAGGGATGGATGCATCCTATGTACCTAATTCCAGAAAATATTAAGTACGGTTTGCTTAGGGACCCCAGAGAGTGCATTAGGGTACTGCTCGAGTCTAACCAGCTAAAACTGCATAGCTAGTCATGGATAGCACGATCTGGCAAGCTTTCCTACTGCTTGTCCAGGTAGGAACACTCTTTCTGTCAGACTTTGGATTGTAGAGTTGGAGGATTCCCTGCCGCTCCAAGTCCTGTCGATGAGCCAGGCTGGCTCGGCTGTCATCAGCAGTGCCCTGGAGTACTATGGTACTTCACTGGCTCAGGAACTGAACTAACGAAACTGCCATAGAGGGTTGATTCCATTCTGACATTCAGTTGCCAAATGTGTCACCTTGGAGCCAGTTCAGTTCCAAGGAGACCCTCTTAATTGATGTTCATTGTGTTAAATGATCCATGAAGAATGATCACTTGTGATGAGCTGCTAGGTTTGCTCAGTGACTGTGAGGCAATAGCTTGACTCAGCGTCTCCAAGAGAGGAGGAGGAGGGAGGTGATGTCTTGTTTTTTGTGTGGGTCAGGAAGCCAGAGCCAGCTGTCTCCAATCGGCTGGCGCCAGCCTCCTATTTGTCTCTTGTTCACTTCGCTCCACCATAAGCAGCCAGTATGCCCCAAAACTTTGGAACTCGCTCTCAATTCCTCCGCCTTACCCCCTCCTTCCCCATTTGCAGTGCCTTCCTCTTCGACCGTGCCTACAGTCACCTCCCCCTGGCTCAGTGTTGGGGTCCGCCATTATTCAGTGCTTAGATCCAACCCCCATGAAAGGCGCAAGTTGTTGTTTGGGAGAATAATTCTTTACTGAGTTGGTGTGGAACTTTAATGATCTCAAGTCAAAACAATCTTTTTTAACAGCTTTGTTCAATGATCCTTGTTTTATTTTAACTGCAGAGGTGGAAACTTAAAGTTATTTTAAGGGTAGTTTTCAAAATTTTCAGATCTTGGAAATTTCTAAAATTACTGTGTTGATTTGTTGGTTTAAAAGCAGGTGGTTGGTAGTTCTATGACTCCCTCTAGTGGAATTGGAAAGGAACATGGAGAGGTTCAGTCTGAAGTAACTTTTCCTTGATTATCCCATAATCAGGTCCATTTTTATCTTTAAAATTCAAGATCACACAGAATTGTGACCAACTCTGAAATTTGGTCTTCGTGTGAAAGTATTTAAGAACCACAGTAAAAACTGCTTCAAATTAAGACTTTGGAATATAAGAATTTTTCACAATTCTGCACAATCCTAAATGTTAAGACAAAATAATCTTAAAAGGCTAAGGAACCTTTTGAGAAACAAAACATTTGATGCTCTAAGAGTAGTGGCTCATACACCCTCTGTATGGTAGATTCTGCTAATCTATGCTTTTATTAGTGTTTCCTTTGTAGACAATGCTGTCGAAAATGGAAAGCATTTGTGTTACAGATTTAGATTACGTGAAGTTTCCCAGCCTCAGTTGTTGGAAGACTTAATATATTGGCTGTTTCCTTATCCTGGGAAGTACTGTGATTGTCTTTTTTTTCCGCTGTAATTTGAAAGTTCTCATTCCCCCCACCCCAAGTTTTCCTCAAGATAATTCCAGGAATTTCGCTCTGCTTCTGGGACCGAGTTGCTTTAGAAAGCATTTCCACTTTGACCTGGTGGCTAGAGCCAGCTTGCCTGTATTGTCTCACTAGCAGGAGGGAGGGAGAAACCGATGGCTGGGGGAAAAAAGAGGGCTGTCAATAGTTTTCTTACTCTTTCCCACAATAGCACTGAAGTGGGTTGAAGACTATTTGCCAGCACTGTGGCTCCTCTTCTTAACTGATGACATCTGTTGTGGAGACAGAGAGGGGCTTTTCATATTTTATGTAGAAACAATTCCGGTTGTGACTTGTGTGCTTAAAATAGTTTGCTCTCTCCCCCCCCCCCCCCCACCACCCCCATAAAAATGATTTTGCAGTGAGTGAAAGAAAGCCACAGCACTGAATTCATGGTAAATCGACCCCATTGCTGAACGAGGGGGAGGTTTGTGAGGCCAGTCCCATACCTTGTTCTGGCTGTTCCTAATTCTGCTTTTGTTGCTTTCAGCATTTACAGTGGCAGGAAAGCAACGTCAGAAGTCGTGTCTGGTGCTCCCTGACCCTTGGACACCCACCAACAAACTGGGTTTCCTTTTAAGTCTGCTCTTGGAGTAACATTTATAGCAGCGAGGGGAAGCCGAATCCCACTCTTCATTCGGCTCCTGTTTGCTGCTGTAAAAGGGCCTCTTTATAAAACCTAGGAGGGCTCTTTGTGGTGGAGAGCACATTGGGGACCAGTGTGGCCCTGCAGCAGGACACTGGGTACCATCCAGGCTTGTCACATCAGTAGGCATGTGGAGAGGGCAGCCTGCTGTGGGGAGGGAGGTGGTGTTGGGATGTGTGTGTGTCCTTCCGTGGAGAACAGACCTATCCTATCGGGTGTTGTGGGGAGGATAAACCTGTCCAACGGGGGGTTTGGTGGAGAGGACAGACATGTCCATTGGAGGAGCTATGCAGAGAACAGAAGTGGGGAGAGGGAGAAATTACTTTAGGCTGCGCTTACTTGGTTTTGCAAAGGTGTGTGACAAGAAGCCTGTGCTACAAAAAGTTTTCTTTCTTACTTTTATTGGTATTCAATATGATGCTTGTTACAGGAACGACGAGGGTATTGACACGTGGTTTTACTCTCTTGCAGGTTACAAAGGGGGCAAATGGAATCGGCCAGGCTGTGTCATCAGGCGCGAATGCATCCAGTGCCAAAAAGAATCGGGAGGTCCGACCTTCACCGTCCAAAACTGTGAAGTACACTGCAACAGTGACAAAGGGAAACGTTACATACACCAAAGCCAAGAAGGAATTGGTCAAGGAAACCAAACCGAACCATGTCAAATCGAGTGCAGCTGTTAACCATTCAATCTCAGGGAAAAGTGAACATAGCAATGCAAAATCACGAAAGCCGGTGCTATCCAACGCGGCGTCCAACTTGAACGGCCCCGCCGCCAGCTGTGTCAAACTCAATGGGAAGGTGAACGGGAAAGCGCCCACTAGGGTTGAAGTCCGGGATGTTAAGGAAGGACTGCGGACCTCCAAGCGGAGGCACGAGGAGGTCAACCACGTAGCGAAAGCCCAATCGCCTTCAAAGAGAGTCAAAGTTAGCACGTGTACAGCGGGCGGTAAGGACAGAAGAGCGAGCGCAAAAGAAAAGACTCTGCCTAATGGGCGAATAAAATGTGAAACGCCAGTGAAAAACAGCGAACGACAGAGGCTTAGGAAGGCATCATTGGGTAAGAACAGCCCAACCAAACAAGCACAGAGCAAATTGGAAAGTGCCTCCAGTGAAAATAGTTCTACCTCAGCCACCGAGTCCTCGCACAAGCCACAAGACTCTTCACTAAAGCAGGAGAGGGGCAGCAAGGTTGGCATGGCACTAGTTGGAGAAATCCCAGTTCTCAGGCCCACCCAGAAGGAGTTTCATGACCCATTAGCTTATGTGGAATCTGTCAGAACTCAGGTGGAGAAGTATGGGATGTGCCGGGTGATTCCTGCCTCTGACTGGAGGCCCGAGTGCAAACTCAATGATGAGATGCGGTTTGTGACTCAGATTCAGCACGTTCACAAGCTGGGCAGACGCTGGGGCCCCAACGTGCAACGACTAGCCTGCATCAAGAAACACCTCAGATCTCAGGGCATTACTATTGATGAGCCCCCACTCATAGGTAAGGCAACTGCTCACAGCACAGGGCAGTGCGCGCATTGAAACACTTTGTGAATGTACTTTGTATGTATGTGTGTGTGTACTTTTTCCTACGTACAGCGTAACACATATTTAGTATGTGCAAAAGTAAGTGTTTGTGTAATGTAACGTGCTTTGTGCGTGTAATAGAATGCACTTTTGCACCCGCAATCTAGTGTGTTCTTTGCGTGTTCAATGTAGCACAGGCGACGTTAAGATTTCTTAAGGCAAAGGTTTATGTATTCGGTTGAAAAATGTGCACGTCAGACCTTTCCTATTAATAGATCTCTTTCCTAGATAGGAATGAATTGCCAGGAGTCTTAAGTTATTCAGGTATAAAAACATTGACTATAAACAGAGACCAAACAAATTCCAAAGTTAGGCAACAGCTGGACTGTTCACAAGTGGGCTTGGAAGAAGGAGGTAACTTTGCATCTAAGGTTCCTGAAGCTTCCCATTCTGTTCTAGATTAATGCATACATAATTAATTGGTATCAACATCTCCATTATTGTAGCGTGTGACTACCAGGATGGTGGAAGACGAACTAGAAGGATATTGTTTTTTTCCTCCAGCAATTCCCATGTTCTTAAGTGGTGGTGGTTTGGCCATTCAGAGAATGGTGATCAGGACATTAAACTGGACTGATCCTAGAGAATAAGGAGAACTGTGTGGGAAGCTGCAGGGAACTAGAGGAAAGGGCTAGATAGGAGACAGGAGTAAGTTGGGAAGATTCTTATTTGATCGTTGACTGTTGTAGGGGGAGGGACAGGAGTGAGAGAACCATGTGGTAACATTGAGAAGTAGAAGGAACATATCCACCTAAAGTCTGTTCAGCATGTGAAGTGAGAAGTTAGATCTGCTATGTTGTTAGTCTTCTTTCCTGCCTTTTTCTCTCTCTCTCTCTTTGGTGTGCTCTCTCTCTCTCTCTCTCGCACGCGCTCTCTCAAGCCTGGGCCACTACAGTAATGACATTCTGCACAGAAAGAGGCTAAGGGAGAGAGGACAGCAAAGAATAAGACCCCAAATGTAAGCATGGTGGCAATAATGAAGCTGGCAAGTTGTGGCATGACTTGCTTTCTCAGCTCCATTAAAATTAGGAAGTCTGTGCCTGTTTTTCAGTTGGTGTTTTAATCCTGATTGTGATGGCTCTCCCTTTTTGATCGGTCACTGCTCTCCCAGGGCCAGCTTTCCTGAATGACAGTATGCTGCCAACACAGTATTGCATAGTATTGCTCTACTAACAATGTACTTAGAAGGCAAAATACATTGGTCTGCAATTGGATCTTAGTCAGTCGGGGTGGGAGGAAAGAAGAGAGAGAAAAGAAGGGATTAATACATTTTTGATCTTGAATTCTCATGGCACAGACCCATAGCTATACTGATGGAAAATGAAGTCACCATTAGATCATGACAGGCTGTTTCAACTTGTCCAGAATAGTAAAACCAGAGGACACGACCTGCGATTGAAGTGGGATAAGTTCAGAACAACTCCATGCAAACACTATTTCAGTGAATGAATAGTGAACCTGGGGAACAGGCTCTCTAGGGAGACAGTTGAAGCAGGAAGTGTTGATTCTTTCAAACGCAGATTAGTTAATTTTCTTTTAGGAAATAACATTATGGGATATAGTACATAGGTAGTTTGGGACATATGTGCTTGCGACTGCCAGGAAGGCAGAAAGCGAACTAGGTGGACCTTGGTCTATTTTCGTCTAGCATTTCTTATGTTTCTCAGTACAGTGACGAAAAAGGGACCTGATTGCAACCATGATTAAAATACCAATTGATATCTTCCAACCACATTGAACTGAGAAACCAAATCTCACAGCAGCTTGTCAGCTTCAGTGTTTAAATCACAGGTCTTTTGCTCTTTGTCGTCCTGATGTGTGGAGTTTATAGTGTAGGCCTACATTTCAGTGGGGTGTTGGGGGAATGCTGCATTGTCAAGACGAAGCATTAAACCGAGGTCCCATCTGCCGAGACGCTATTTGAAATTGGAAAGGAATTTTTTCGGATGTCTTGGGCAGTAAACCTCCAGATAAACTTGCTCATTCATTTTGTGGATGTTTGTGGGACATTACTGTGGGCAGAACAGCTATCGCATTGGTGACAACAAACATTTGCAGTTGACAGTAACTACTGTAAAGTGTTTTGAGGTGTGTTGATATATTACAGGTTTCTTCTCTCTTGCACGTTATTTCCAAGTTTCCAGGCTCTTGATGTACTCACCTGATCAGCTATTTCAGGGTTTAGTCAGTGTAGAGGCTTATTGCACTTTCCCTTCACCTCTAGCACCTGAGTTTCCAGTGTTGTCTAAAGCACACAGCACGGGCACTGTTTGAAAGTGATCACGTGCTATATATGTAGTTATAATAACATTCAGTTGGCACTTCATTGTCGCTGCCAAGTTTTAGGTTGGACTGAATCCAGCCTTCACTGCACTCCAGAGCCTTTCCCTTGTCCTGCTCTGTAAGCTCCCCTCTAGCTGTTGTACCTGTGACCTGTGCATATCTAGTTTCATTCCAGTGTAAGCCGGGCTTCTCTCTCACTTGTCTGCGGGAGACCGGTGATTGAAACTATCTCTGTAGTTCTTGTATCTCACAATGTTTCATGTGTAAATCTAAAAAATGATTCTTGATGCACTATTTGCCTGGAATCCACTTACCTGGGTATTTCTCCACACTCACTCCCTCCTTTGGCTCAGGTCAGCTGACTCAGCACAGACTGTAGGATTCAAACCTGTGACTTTCCTCTATTTCTATCATATAATCAATGTTTCTGCTCTTAATTCCCACAGGAAATAAAATATCAATTGGAATATTCCTCCTTGAACAACACATCGGGCCATCTACTTTCTCGCTCTCTCTATCCTTCTTCCCACTTTCCCCCTCCCCACAAAATGTTTGCTCTATTCCTCTTTCCCACCCATTTTCACTGTATGAGTGTTCTTTTTCAGGCATACCTTTTGCAAGAGGTTTCTCTAAAGCAAGTGGGGGTATGACACTGCCTAATTAGATGCCTTACTAACCACGTTTCAAGGTTAAAGTTGCACAACTAATCATAGTTCTATATCACCTTTGTGACACTATCAATTGCTGAGCTTTCAGATCTGATGTCCCTAACATCCGAAACACCCTCCCTCTATCCCTTTGTCTCCCCCATCTGTCTGTCATGTCTCCAAACCTACCTCTTTGAACATGGTTATTGCCAACCCTTCTTTTGCCCAGCATCCCTCCCTGTCTTTGTAAAGCACCATTAGGCTAAGTGAATGGAGGTATATAAAAGCAATTTATAAATGGGGTGGGGTCCAGGAGAGGGGATTTGGGAGTGTGGTGGTTGGGGCGTGAGGGTGGGGGCAGGGTTCAGGTTTCTCTCCCCTGTTCATGTGCCACCTTTGGTGTCTCTTACTTTTCCTTCTGATAGTGGTGCTGCAGAAGCTGGAGAGCAGACTTTGTGTGTTGCTTTGCTGTGAGGGTAATGGAACATTTCATTGGGCGGTGGGGAGGACATGAACAAATGGAGAGCAGAAATGCACCAGGGATTAAATAATGATGACCAGGGGGAAACGGCAGGCAGTTGTGAAGTCTCTGGACACATCTGCCTCGTGCAGACGTCTCGAGTTTTGCTCACATAATCCGCTGGACTGTGTTACTGCTCTGTAACCTCTTGATAGGCATGGGATACTCAGGGGGTTCTCTGGAGAAGCGTACGTGTTTTGAAAGCATTTACAAAAAGAACGTTTATTATGCTCAGTGGTTCAAAGAGCAATGGTGCACACTGCTATCTGCTGCTCTGTTTTTTTTCCTATTTCTCCTCCTTATGCCTATGCTGTACCCTCGAGACCTGGTCTCCACAAACCAGCGTTCACCAGAGACTGCTTTCATTCCGTGACTATGATTGAACCTCTTCATTACTTTCAGATTATAATATAAAACGGCGACTCTTGGCAATACAGCCCACACTGTATTAAAAAAAGAAAAACTCTTAGGCGTGTCTTGTGAGAAACCATTCTGTTCATTTGTGATCAGACAATAACAGTGACTGTTAAAACGGAGAGACTGTAATTGCTGCTATCGGTGATGTAAGTGGAAAGTTACCAGTGGGGGGAAGGGCATTGATTTGGTACTGAGTTATATATTGTTTAATTAACGGGAGATATATTCCCCTCCCGTGCCCTACTGTTGCAAACCCAATTGCATCAGTGTGACTGCGCTGCGGGTGATGTTGAGCTGGAGGTAACTGATGTGCTGCTCTGTTCTAGGAGGATGTGAGCTGGATTTGGCCCGATTTTATCAGCTGATTAATGACATGGGTGGCATGCAGCAAGTGACTGACCTCAAGAAGTGGAATAAACTGGCAGACATGCTGCGAATCCCTAAATCTGCACAGGACAGGCTGGCAAAGTTACAAGAGGCCTATTGCCAGTACCTGCTCTCCTATGACTCCCTCTCCCAGGAAGAGCACAAGAAGCTGGAGAAGGAGGTGCTGACGGAAAAAGAGAGCCTGGAGAAGAAGAAAGGGCCTTTGGAAGCTCACTCAGACAACACGTGCAGGTCTCAGTCTCTGCCCAGGTTTGAGCCCAAAAACGGGCTGGTGAATGGTGTGGTGCATAAAAATGGCTTCCGGAATAAGCTGAAAGAAATAGATACTGAACTGAAAACAGGCAGGCGACGACTGTTTGCTCAGGAAAAGAAAGAGAGTCAAGATCAGAGTGGGGTTCTCGGTGATTTGTACAAGTGTGTATATAAGGTACGTTCATTCAGCTCAACTCTGTATAAAACGCACAGTAGAATCCTGGTAACTTGTTATTCCAGGGAATAAGGGCTCAGTATAAACTCAAGTTGCTCTTGTCCTCCGGGACCTTGCTCAAGTCGTTGTGCAGTCAGTGTTTGGGGTGGGGTTACCTGTCAGCAGCTACTCCTCACCTGCGGGTGATGTTGAGCTGGAGTTGTGGAGGTACCCAGGAGGAGGTGCTGACAAGGAGCAGGAACCTGATTGCTACTTTCTCTCACTAACCCTGGGAACACCAGGGACAGTTTACTCTCCTTACGGCTGCCCTTTCTTTGTTTTAAGCATTCTTGATTGTTCAATGTACAGACCAGTGAATACAGATTGGAGACACGTGGAGTCCTGCCAGACATCATCAACTTCTCCCTGTCATCTGGCACTGTTCCTATCCCCCTCAAAACAGCCACGATCACCCCCACCTTGAAGAAACCTTCCCTTGACCCATCACAGCTATCCAGCTACCAACCCATCTCCCACCTCCCATTTCTGTCTACGGTCCTTGAGAGAGCTGTTGCCTCCCAGCTTCGCTCTTTCCTCTCCTCACACTCCCTCCATGAGCCCCTCCAATCGGATTTCCGTGCTGCCCACAGCATGGAAACTGCTCTAGTCAAGGTCACAAATGACATCCTGACCATGTGTGACCAGGGCTCTCTCGTCCTCCTCGATCCCTCCGCCGCCTTTGATAGTGTGGACCACTCAATCCTCCTCCTCCGCCTCTCCTCCCACCTCAATCTTGACTGGTTCAGGTCCTACCTTTCACACCGCCTCCACCTTGTCTCTGCAAATGGCTTCTCCTCCAGCCCCCGCACTGTCTCGTGCAGCGTTCCTCAGGGCTCTGTCCTTGGTCCACTCCTCTTCACCCTCTACATGCTCCCCTTGCTGACATCATCTGCAGACATGGGGTAAATTTCTACATGTATGCGGATGACACCCAACTCTATTTCTCTGCCTCCACCTTCAACTCCAGGACTACTGGCGTCCTGACTGACTGCCTGTCTGACATCAAGTCCTGGACGAGGGACAACTTTCTCCAACTGAACGTCAGCAGGACCGAGGCCCTCCTGATTGGCTCGCGCCAGCACTTCCGCACCTCAGGCGCTGGTAGCATCAGCCTCCACGGCTGCACATTCAACCTCACTAAGCCAGTCAGGAACCTGGCTGTCTTGTTTGACCCTGAACTGCCCTTTCTCCCCCACATCCGCGCCATTACCGGCACTGCCTACCATTGCCTGACTCCGCCACTGCCTCACCCCTCAGGCTGCCAAAACCCTCACCCGCACATTGGTCACATCAAGGCTCGATTATGGAAACTGCCTCCTCATCGGCCTTCCCAACTCTTCCTTTCCCAAGCTGCAGATCATCCTAAACTCTGCAGCTCATGTACTCTCACGCACCAGACTCTGTGACTCTATCACTCCCACCCTCGCCCGACTCCACTGGCTCCCCATCCCTCAGAGGATCGAATTCAAGATCCTCGTCCTCACTTTCAAGGCCATTCATGGCCTTGCCCCCTCCTACCTCTCTGACCTGCTGACTCCCTACCAACCTGCCCGTTCCCTCCGTTCAGCAGGCTCCGGTCTGCTCCGTCTCCTGCCCGACCTGCCCTACCATTGGTGGCCGGGCTTTTAGCCTCTCTGCCCCCACACTCTGGAACTCCATCCCATGGTCCCTTTACCTCACTTCCTCCCTTGCCTCCTTCAAGGCCAGTCTCAAGACCCTCCTCTTCGATCGTACCTTTGGTCGTCCTCCCAGCTCTCTGCCTTTCCTCGCCCCTAAGGCGCTCTATAACTTTAATATTTTGTTGTTGTTGTTCAGTGGTTAGAGAACTCGCCTCGCAAGCGAGAGACCTAGGTTCTATTCCCGGCAGGACGAAATGTTAGGCAAGTTTCCTTACTCCACACACCTCTGTTTACCTAGTAGTAAGCAGGAACCCGGTTGTTAGTTGATTGACGGACCGGTTTTCCGGGGATAATAATCCTTAAAAAAAAAGTAATAATTTGGTCACTCAATCCATGACTGTTTGTGAGACACTGCTGTACGCAAACTGCGCGTTTTTCCCACAAGTATACAGATAATTCATTGTACAGTATATTCTTTGAAGCGCTTTGAGACATCTAGAAGACGTGAGAAGCGCTATATCAAATGCAAGAATTATTATTATTATTTGGGCAATGTTCATTTTTTTTTTGTTTTCAAGTTCTGCACTGCTAATGACTGATGAAAAGAAGTCTACAGAAAGGGTTTTGAGGATTTGTTTAAAAAAAAATCTTTGGCTAAGGATGTCATTAGTCATATGTGTCTTTCCACAAGTTGTTCAATGCAACAAACAAAGAGATTTATGTATGAGCCAGTCTAACATATTTATATTTTTACTTGTGGATCAGATAAAGCACCAATTTGTCCATGATCTGTTAGTCACAGAGGCTTGCAAAACTGCAATGTTGTCAGCTCTGAGGTTGTGTGAGGTCGGCTACAGCAAATGGCACCCATTAACACGCTAGTTAATGTTATCTATGTAAAACATGTGGCATGATGTACAGTATTATGTTGGCAGCAGAATAATATTTCAGGTTATCTTGTCTCAATTCCATTGCAGACTTCAGTATATATGTCGATGTGGTGTCAAATATGATGTGTAATAGTGAAGGACTTGATGGTGTTCATGTATTGTTCAAAAGGTCGAACTTAATAGCATTAATGTTGTTGGGGGTATTTTGCCAGATGAAATGCGTGTGCAGGTTCATGAACTAGAATTGCTCATGTGTTGGGAAACCAGGCTTGATGCGTTGATGCATTATGCTTCTTAGGAAAGCTGCTCCCGAACCCACGTGCTGCTTTCAGTTGTAATTTTTTTCCCTTTCACTGTTGGCCATTGCAGATAAGGTATAAAATATGCAGAAGAGATAGTTAAAGATCAAGTGATGTGTGCATGTTGTATACTGCACCAATAAATGATGTTTCACTGGGTTCATTCTGCAGGATAAAATGGCCATAATTCATGAGTGGGGCAAGAGGTCTGTCTCAGGAGTGACTCAAACACAGTAATTATGTTATTACTGCAATGCTGTCTTCTCTAGAAAGGAATTATGATTATTTTTTAAAATAATTTGCCAGTCTTTCACTGTGGACTGTGTAAGCATTCAGGTCCCGGTGATCATGTACAAGGCAAGGATGGGCTACCTTGCAATTATCTGCTAAATGCTCTGTGTTTATCACTGCATCACACAACAACTCGTTGATACTTTCATGTGCAGAAAGATTATTTGCGATTCCGAATGAGTCTGTTTGTGCTCCGGTGCTGTGTGACTAACAATGCTCACAGAGTGAACTCTTCTTTGCATATAGCAATATAATGTGGACAGACTAGAGTCTGGTTGAAGCTGTTACCATTTAATTTACTAAATCTGAATTGAACCAAGCAACTCTTAATTCGCTATAAAACACAATATCCAAAGCAACTCAAAAATAATGATAAACCTTGCATTTGATTAGGCGCCTTGGAACGTCCTCCCGACGTGAAATGTAATTTTGTTGTTGTAGTGCCTTATCACGTCTTCGAGACGTCTCAAAGCACTTCACAGATATACTGTAAAATGAATTGATTGTATATTTTGTTTGCAAAATACGGCAGGCAATTGTGCCGAGCAGTGTACCACAAACAGTCATGGATTGAGAGTCACCAAATTATTTCTATTTATTTTATTATTTATCTATTTATAGTCTGTTGTTGGTGTGGCTTAAAGATACATTTGAAAACGTACCCCAAATATTCGCATTGAAGTTGCAGGGCCGTTTGTAAATATTACTGCAAGAGTTACCCAGAAAGACTACCGCTGACATCCAGCGTAATGTCAAACAATATCAATTGTGAGGTTTCAATTATATAGGATCATATAGGAATCGGCAGTAATGCCCTGACATGTCAAGAGGTTATAGGGCAATAAATGCAATGCTATGTTTTATAGTTTCAAAGCTGGTACGATTCCTGACTGTGTAGTTAGATAAGCTTCTTAATTCAAACTGTTACATGCTACATTTTATTAAAGTTTGTGGGTTGATCACAAGCTCAGTTGTAAAACTTGATTCCAGTCTCTGTAGATGGACAGTTTTTTGGAGTTGCAAATGACCCACCCATTTGCAAAGTCCAGGATCAAACAGTGAGGTGGATTTGTGGTAAACATAGCTGTAGGGAGGAAGGGCTCCAGCCTACACTGACCTGTCGCTCAGCACCCTGGAGGCAGAGTCGGCCTCATAATAGGAATGTCTTATTTGCTACCTCCCTCACTTGAGGGGATTAAGGGGCTGATGCTGAATAAGCCTGGTGCGCGGCATTATAACTGAACGTCAAGAACATCGAGGATGGAAAGCATTGCTGTCCACCTTGATCGATATGCAGAGGAAAGCAGCTGCTGCTCAAGCTCCACACTCCCAACTGGTAGAAACATCGCTCAATGGGTAGGGATGTGTGTCCGAGCTGTGGGCAGGAAGGTGATGGCGTTCCTGGTATCTGGCATCCACTTTGTGAGGGTAAAAGACCAACTATCTTCCTGGTTCCACTATAATAATAATAATAATCCTTGCATTTGATATAGCGCTTTTCACGTCGGGAGGACGTCCCAAAGCGCTTCACAGAACACACTGTAAAATGAATTGACTGTATATTTGTGGACGAACGCAGCAGCCAATTGTGCACAGCACTGTCCCACAAACAGTCGTAGATTGAAAATGACTAATTTATTATTGTTTTTTGTTTTGGAGGGATTATTATCAGGCTCTGTGTGGAGTAAGGAAACTTGCCCAAGGTTTCGCCCTGACCTGCCTGGAATTGAACTCAGGTCTCTCGCTTGCAAATCGAGTGCTCTAACCACTGAGCTACAGGATTCCACAGTAGATGGCCTTTAAGATACTCCTCCTGTTTCTTTTTTCCTACCTCCCACTTAGGGCTCCCATGCTTAGCTCAGGTGCCCAATCAAGCACTTTGAGACGTCCTCCCGATGTGCTCTTTGCACTGCATCTAGTACCCGGGCAGCCAGCCCTTTTGTAGCTGCAATCGGAACAGTACACCGTATGCCCAGTCAAACCAAGCCTGGTGCAACCTAACCATATGGCTTGACCAGGATTTGGGGGGACTCTGAATTCACCAGTGTGGCAGTGTAAGCCTGCATTCTGTTCCCTTGTTTATTGCTGCCTCGCACATTTGGGCATAGTTCATGCAGAACCACCGAACACCCTTAGGTCAAACCATGTACCGTAGATGAATTGAGGTTCTTGAATACTCTAGGACTTTGAAAAGTTTAAAATGTGCCCTTGGATGCACTATTTCACCAACCAGTTATGTCCAGCAAACTTGATCTTCTTGTCACTGGTTCAATTGAGCATTTTGATGAAGGTCAAGCATGTTGCACAGTGCGTTTCTGCCCTTTTCTTATTGCGGATTCCAGGAAGACCACTGAATTTGTGATGCAAGATTCTTTTTGTCATTTGAACTGTTTAGAGCCCACTGAATCATCTGCTGAAGATACTAATGCTGGTCCCAGATATCCAAGACATACTTTCAGTACTCTTGTCTGGCAGTAACCTCCAGATCCTGTCGTTCTGTACAAATGACAGATGGCGTAGAGATTATGCCAGCTCTTTGTTTCAGTCTTAATATTGGACACAGAATCTCGGGTTTCTTAACTGTGTTCCATTCCACATCATGAAATGGTTTTGCTGGTAAAAGATATCAATAGGCATATCTTGGTTCAGGGAGAGAGACAACCATATTTCAAGGGCTTAACATCTGTTGTTTTATGAGATAAATCACATATGATTTATAATTTACCAATTCTAATTTTACAGAATTTCCAGTGTGGGGGGNAGAAACAACTGGAACTTCCTTTGAATTTAGTTTTTTTTATGGCTGATTTTTGGGATAGATGTGAAAGGCACAGTTTGCACTTTATTTGCCCTAATAATCTGTACATAAGCACTCCATGTCCTCCTATTTTGTGGTTTGCCTTATCACTGACCTTGCAGTTGAACAAGATTTAAAAAAAGGTTGGTAATCACCCGTTAACATCCCAGGGTATGGCTTATTCTCTGCCCACCCCCGGTTTTGTTGGGTCCACTCCCTCACCCTCCCCCCTCCCACTGTTATCCTTTCAGTGGGTCTTGCCATTCTATCAGTGGAGAAACGCAACTACACTCACCGAGACTGGCCAAAGGAGGATAAATTATTGTCTGTTCTGCTCTGTGAAACACTTTAACACGTCCTTCCACCGCAAACAGTCCCTATATCAATGTATATTATTGCTAGTGTTGAAATTGTTGGTGGCATTGTGAGACCTGATGCTCTGAGAGCCTGCTCTAGATAAGCTTTCCCAAGTCAGAACCTTGTTAGGGCCCAGATTCCTACCATTTATAAAACGTACATCCAGACATGGGCTTTAATCATTCATAGAATGTTCTTGGGCTTCCCGCAAAAGCCTAGTTCAGATGCAAGTGGTTTTCTTCATAACCCCAGATTCCATGATTTATTTGAGAATGCTGTTGGCATTACAGACTAGCTACAGCCAGTGGGGATCAATACTACAAAGATCTTAGTGGTGGGAAAGCAAAGCCAATGCAGGTTTGGCAGAAATGCACCAGCATTGGAACGAGGATGGAATTGGAAGTCATCCTTTCGAAAGAAAGTGCACAATTTGCATTGTTAAAAGAGATTTATTTGATCTGATTTCCTAATGGAGGTGAAATTTGCTGTGTTTCAAACCTGCCATTTTAAACGTCTAATAATAAAATATTAGTCAATATATGGAATACAGTTTTCAATGTATTTACACTGTTACACTTGTCTCCTGATGCATTAGGTAAACCTAAATGGTAGGTCTGGTCTCTCCCATTAATTTGTTTTCATGTGCAACATACTGCATTCAAGTATAATGAAGTCCTGTAGCTCAGTAGTTAGAGCACTCGCCTCACAAGCGAGAGACCTTGGTTCGATTAAAGGCAGGACGAAATGTTGGACAAGTTTCCTTACTGCAGAAACGCTACTTCAGTGAGAGAGTAATAAACTTATGGAACAGGCTCCCTAGGGAGACAGTGGAAGCAGAAATGTCATTTGTTTTGAGAACAAATTAGATAGATTTCTGCTAGAAAATAATATCTCGGGATACAGTGCATGGTTTGGGACACAACATGTCAAGCGACTGCCAGGATGGTGGAAGGCGAACTACGTGGACCTTGGAACAAAAACAGAAGTCGCTGGGAACACTCAGCATCTATGTAGAAAGGAAAGTGAGTCAATGTTTCGGGTCCACGACCCTTCGTCAGAACAAACCAATAATAAATTGGTCACTTCAATCCATGATTTTTGTGGGACACTGCTGTCACAATTGGCTGCTGCATTTCACCCACAATATATACGGTCAATTCACTTTACGCTATATTCTGTGAAGCGCTTTGAGACGTCCCAAAGACGCAATACGGCGCTATTATCAAATGCAAGGATTATTATTGTGTGTATGCAAGTTTGGTTGTTTTGCAGCACTCTTGCCTCTAGGTCAGCAGATTCCACAAAGTCATAATCTAGGCAGACCTTTCAGTACAATTCTGAGGGAGTGCTGCATTGCTGCCATCTTTCAGAAGATGCATTAAACCAAAGTCCAAAGATATATAAATGTTCCCATGACGCTATTTTGAAGAAGAGCAGGGAATTCTGGTTCCTGGCTAATAAACTATATCTCTCTCGTCCAAAATTCACTAAAACTCACAATATTTGGTGATTCATCCGTTAATGTTTGTAAAATGTTGATGGTGCGGGTTAGCTGTCATTAACTGCAGCAATCACTGCACTTCAAAGTTACTTGGCGTGAAGCACTTTCGAAAGTTCTGAAATGCTAAATCATTGCATCAAATGCAAGTATTATATATTAACTGGGTACAGCCTTCAACAAAGGAATTGTGCAGGTTCTCCTGAGGACATAAAGTCTATACGGGGTATTTGACATTTTTTTTCTGGGTTATTTTATTAGGATTGAATCAGTAGCCAAAAGTTTTCATTTGCTTTGGTCTCTAAACTGATTTATTTATTGTACAGGGAAGATCTGTATCGCTGACTACGTTTTATCGGACAGCTAGAAACACAATGAACATGTGCTTCAGTAAGGAGCCAACGGCAGCTGAAGTGGAGGTAGGAGTCTTATTACTCTATTTTAATAGTTTAGTTTTATGTTTAACTGGTGTCTAAAATCCTGTCTTCATAATGGAGCGTGCAAAGGATTTGCAAACGTTGAATCCCGCAGAGACATTCAAGCTTATTATGAAGCCTCGGACTCAGTATGAAGGGAGGCGTGGAGAAAAGTGTCAACTGCGCTGTGCCCGTCAGGAGATTACGTGGGACCAGCAATCTTAATGATACAAACCCGGTTTCTGACAGGATTATGTCTTTCCAAATACTGTAGCGATTACCCCAACTTGTGTTCAGAAATAGTAGTATTCTGACGAGGGAGGACAGGGGGCATAGACGGTGCATGAGAATATTCCTGGGGGGTGGGGGGCAGGGAAATGAGTAACTCAGTTAGTAGATTGGTCACCTTTAAGGCAACTGAGCTCTTGACTGACGGGTCCATCAGCCAATCAGAGGTGATGACACCCCTGACAAGTAGCCCACTGGACCGGACATAGGGTATTGCGGGGTGGGGGGGGCAGTGGGTGTCGCATATTGGGGCTGCTCGGCTCCCCTTAAAGAGGAGAACTGTGGATAGATTTGGAGGAGGCTGAGCCCCATTAACCCTAGCCACCCATCAGTGATCGCCTATGGCTAGGGGTGAGAAATAGATGCCTCTTGGGAATTTCTATGTATGCAAATGCACTTCCAGCGAAATCTAATTGATGACATTGAAGGCAGAAAATGATTGCAAGTAGTCAATGACTCCTTCGTTTTCCAGTTTTTAATGAAATGCAGATTGCATTGAGGCTTTTTTTTCTGTGATGCTGCTCTCTGTTTAAACTTGGGATGAAGAACGCAATGTATTAATGAATGAAACCTTGGGAATATTTCTTTACCGAGTTGCATAATTCATTACATCGTGTACTTGAAGTTAAATCAGAATTCAATTAGAGCATGTAGATCAGAAAAAGGTTTGGTGAATAATAGAAACATTTGTTGAATTCTAATTTTCTATTGTGAGTGTAGAGTTCTGGCTTGAAAGAGGCAATTAATTTAACTTGAAAAAATTCATTGCACTTCAGTTTTTCTCCACCAATCTCTACTCTCACAGCATTCAGCTCACAGTCCACTCGTTTCCCCCCCCCTCCCCCCCCGTTCCCCACTCGCGCACACACACACACACTTTAATCTCATTTAGAGAGGTCTTGGGTGGCTAGGGTTGAAAATGTAAAATGTCACCAAGGATTTCTTCCTTGAGAGTGGAGTTGGGAAAGGTGCTATACAAATGTAATTTTGTTGTTGTTGGGGCAGAGTGAAGTGAGCTTTATGCTGCATCACACCATGCAATAGCTGGTCTGGGATAGCTGACCCTGGCCTAGGATGTGATGCCTGAAATGGGGAAAGTTTTTTCCCAGCATTAAAATGAAGCGCACGAGAACTTGCCTTTCTGAGCGCAGAATTAAACTGAACTCTTTTCTTGATTGTATGGGAGGTAGGAACTATTTTTTTTAAGTGTTAGATTTTAGCTTAAAAACCTAGCTGCAAGCAGGACCACTTGTAGCTTTAATTATTTGGGTTAAAACAGCCAACTTTCATTTAAACTCTGCCGTCTTCCCCAAATTGAATATTATGTTTGTGATCTTTGTTAAAATAAAATTCACCATAACTGCTAATCGCTTCACTTGATGACAATGTTACACAGTGCTGAGTGCAGCTGAATGTGTTTGGTTTAAGATTTGCAATAACTTCTCTTAATTGCAGCAAGAATACTGGAGGATAGTGGAGCAGAAGGATTCCCACGTAGCAGTACATTCTGGGAAAGTAGATACTAAAGCACATGGCAGTGGCTTCCCTGTTGGGAAGTCTGAACCTTTCTCAAGGTAACGCTTGTGTTCATTGAATGCACCAAATGGCTGTTGTGACTTCTGTTGATCTAAGAGGTTTTTATTTTTAGTCATGCACCATCTTTGGGAAACCAGAACATCCTGTGAATATTTTGGGCTTTTTTTTAAAAACAAGCATGTTTTCTTATAAATTTCCATCCTCACTCTGCCTAGTCCAGGCTGGCTGGCTCTGTTACTGTAGTTACTGTAGTTCCTGCCTTTGTGGACAGATACCATAGGGTTAGTCTCCAGTGTCTGAGTGAGATCCAGGATCACAAATTATTCGGATTTCCTTTCCACTCTTTCTCTCAAATAAAATCAAAAATGAAAACCTCAGAGAATTATTTTTAAAACTTTTAGCCAAGGCAATTGTAAAAACATCTGTGCACAAGACCGTGCTATTATGGGAAGTTTTTTAAAAAAAACTTTTTTACAGTAGTAGCCATTAGTTGGGTGGTGGGGGAGGAAGATCATTTGAATTACAAAGAAAGTATCTTCATTTTAAATAGTTTAAACAACCAAAAAAATCCCTCAGGGCTGACGGTTGACAGATTAGAAGTTTATAGACGGAGACAACTGAGGTGTAAATCCCCTGGTTTGCCATTAGGATTTTTAAAATAGAACTTAACTGAAATTTTTAAAAAATCTATAGATATGTATTTAACATATGTACTGTATATTTATATTTGTGCACATGTTATATTGATGCCCTGCTATTGTTGATTAGAATTTGAACAGTAATCTTAGATGGCAACACATTTGAATCTCATTTGGCCGAGAAGCATTTTTTTCATATTTTTAAAAAAAATTAGCTTAAACATATTAAAATACAATATTTGTTCAACTGGTAATTGACCCTTTTTGAATGCAAATCAGAACGAGAATTGTTCCGTAGCCAAGTGCAGTCAGTTGGATAAATTGCTAATACTGGTAATAATGTACACACACTGCACTAATGGCTGGTTGCACAGAATACTACTCCCACTCGCTGACCTGAAAATGGCCAAATCAAAACCAACCAGTTAGCACTGATCTCTCCACAAAGTGCTTTTTAAAAGTAAGCCCCTGCCTTGAAATATGGAGAAATGAGTAATGTTCTGTGTGTGTGTGTGAGATGAACACAAGTCCCAGACTTAGTTGAAGCCACATAGTCTTTAGGTACTGGTAATACTTTCTCTATAAGAAATGCAGTGATTTACTGTGGCAGTGAATAAGTGGCAAGTTATCCTAGCATTGCAGTTTGGCCTGGAGGTGCAGCTCTGTATATGTGTATTGCACTGCTGTGTGATGAGATGCAGCGGGAGAGTACTTGGTCAAATCTCGTTTGCAGAGGCCTGGGATCTGATCACTTTCCTTGCCTCTCGCCTGCGGTTTATTTTTTTTTGTGTGTGGTGGGGATAGGCAGGGGACTGGAGAAAGAATGGTTGCAGATTCTTTTTCACACTTTATTTCCTTGCATCAGGCATGGATGGAACCTTACAGTCCTTCCTAATAATTCAGGATCCATCCTGCGACATTTTGGTGCTTTGTCAGGTGAGACCTGTGCATGCACTATTTACTGGTTTTATTATTAATAATTCTGATATGAATAATAACTTGTTGCATTTTATATAGCACTTTTCCCATTGAGAGGACGTATCAAAGTGTTTCACAAGATATACTGTTAATTTTAGTGATTGCTTTGCAGACAAAATGTTTGTCTGTGTGGAATGTTTTCATTTTGCTGGGCAGATGCGTTATTTATATTTGCTGAAAAGCCCTGCTTGCTAAAAATCGCTTGTTAAATTATATTTTTAAGAACTTCACTTTCTCCAAATGTTTCTGTACTTGTTGGTGTACCTGGTCAAAATATTTTGGGCCACGAAAACTAGACTTTACTGTTCTGTGTATTGTGTCTGAGGGAATGTTATCTGTGTCTAATGCTGATTTGAAATGGAGTACATCCAACTTATGAATCCTGTTTCAAATCTTTTTCTATCATTTTATCTAGGAGTGACGATTCCTTGGCTAAATATTGGCATGGTTTTCACTACCTCATGCTGGTCTCGAGACCAAAACCACCTTCCATATATTGACTACTTACACACTGGTGCTGATTGCATTTGGTAAGTGCCTGCCCTTGGGGGAAGGGGGCAATCACCCCCTCCTCTTTAGCCCACTTACACCAGCGTACCAGAGTGGGTCTGGATCAACTGGCTCTGAAATAGTGTGTTTCTCTTTCCTAACCTATTTTCTCACTACACACACCCACACACATCTGCAAACACAGGGTCAAATCTGGTTGTTAACAATGGGAGCTCTGCATTTATGTTGCTTTGTGGGTTACCAGCGCAGGAATCAATTATAATCAAGCAGTTATGCAGTCTTGGTTTGAATCTTCATTCTAGAGAAAGTATTCAATGCAGCATCCCAAATGGCATGCTTTTCCTTTTTTTTTTGGGAGGGGAAAAAAAACTATGATTCTCTGTGAATTGTATCCTGCTGTATTTACACTCACTTTTAATCCCAAATAGCTGTAGATTCAGGTTCAATCTGAATCTACAGCCTCAGTGTAAATAGAGCTTCTGTCAACTAGTCAGCATTTGGTCACAAAGTGTTACCAAGTACTTGAATGTTAAGATAATAGTTCTTTTTAATTCTTCCACCAGATTGAACTGAAGACCTGCTTCACTGACACAGAAGTGAGTTAAACTTTTTGTCCATATCCTTAAATTACCTTTAAAATTGCTTTAATCATCTTAGCAGTTAGCCAGCATGGACAGAACTTAGCATATCTGTGTCAGACAGGCAGAGTGTTCAGCACTTAAAAGGGGCAGCTGGATGGAACTTGCTGTTAGTTTAAACCTTGGAACAGGAATTGCCCCATATCCCCCTATTTGCACTTTTTCTGCATAATTTTTATTTTGCCATTTGCTTACGTGTGGTTCACTGGAGTTTGTCTCAATTCAGTGCAGAGAAGAGTGATATGGGTGGTGGGAGACATTGTGCTAAGACATGACACCAAAACAGAGGGTCTGATAACAATTTTTTCTTTGGAATTGTGCATTGTGCCCTTCTCGGGAGATGCAATCGTTAATAAATCACAAAAACCAGATTGACGTGTCCTTTTTAAAGCAAGTTCTTTCAGCTGAGATGCCCTTTCATGGTGCTATTTATAGTTTAAAGAACTCCAGTAATCTGCTAAACTTAATGGAAGCATTCAATTTTTCACTCCCAAGTACTGATAACAACACCACCACCTTGCATTTATATAGCGCCCTTCACGTGGAGTAGCATCCTGGAGCACCTACTGATGGATTGGATTGTGTTGGCACAGGCCCCACAGAACACTGTCTGACCTAATTCCTAATATACTCTCCAACATCAAATTGGTCAGTGGTCAACCCCAGGTGATTCAGTCCAAGCATGCGAAGATGGTGAAGAGGGACTTATTGATGAGAAACTCTTTTTGTTCTCTCTCCGCCCATGTACCCTTTTTTCAATCAACATGAACTGAACACCCGTCTTTGAGTGAACTCGTTGCCTGGCAGAAGTGTGTTTAGCTTCTCAGCTAATTTTCAGTAACCTGCACGATTGTGCTATAAACTAAAGCTCTTCTTAACAAATTCTCTCAAAAACATATTTCAAAAAAAGTGCTTGCACGTGATATCAAATAGGAAAGTTGCGCTCAATTTCCCCAACAATTTATCTTGGTATATCCTTTTTTGGATGGGAGGCAGACATTTGGTGTGAATCTCTGCTGAAAATAATGCACACAACACAGGTCATCTCTACAGTCCAAACATACAACTACTGAAAATCAGCTACAAAGTGCACAGTGGAGAAAATAGGTTCTTTCTCTCTCTCTCTCTCTCTCTCTCTCTCTCTCTCTTTCTCGTTCTCTCTTTACCCTGAGCCTGTATGTTCCAATTTGAACCCCAAAGTTGCCTTGGTAAAAGTGGAGAGCTGACATATTTGATCTTTCCGTGGTTGTCTCAATGGAATCGTACAATATTTACTGCACTGTAGGAGGCCGTTTGGCTTCTCATTTCTGTTGTGTGCAGTTTCAAGACATTGAAGTGAGATGTGCTCCATCATAAACTATGCGTTAACATTCCCAGCAGAATATTAGAAAATAAGAAGTAATGAAATAGCACAAGACAAATATTGCTCCAAATATTGCTGTTTGGAGTCTGATCCATCAAGCCTCCTTGCAAATATTCACACAAATGCTCTTTGGATTCTGTACTTTTTAAGACTAGTTGGGTTTTCACTCACACTGACTGACTGACTGACCCATTACCTCTCTCTGAATAGAGTTTTACCCTATAAAGTCCAGTCAGAAGCAAACTAGTGAAATGGGTCTTCAGAAGCAAAATATTCTTTGAATAGCACAACAACACCTCAAAATATTCCACAAAGCTGCTTAGATGCAGATTATCTTTGTGTTGAAGGCTGCAGTTCATTTTAATTCAATTGATGAAGGCAAATATTTACTCCGGGTTCCCTCTGCTAGACTTCACGAAGAACCAACTCTCTCTCCCCTGTCCGTCCGTCCGTCCGCCCCGCCTCCCCTCCCCGCCCCCCCTGCCCCCATCTCTGGAAAGGTAAGTAGCCATCGGATTTCTTGCAGGTCTCCATTGTTGCTGCTCCACAATCTGCAGGACATGCTTGTAATCAATGCCATGCGAGTCGCTGCTTAATTTTAATACCCTCTTTCCCCACCCATCACTGTGGTGAGTGATGAATGTGTGAGGAGGATGAACTTGTTTTCTCCATGCCCTGGCTGCTGCTGCTACTGCTGCTTTACGTGGTGGCTTCAGACATAAGTTTGTATTTTTCTCAGCTCTGTACTGCACTAACCTATTGAAATGTTAATCACATTAACCTCCTAAAGAGCTAAGAACACAAGTTGGCCCATGGCAATTCCTTTTTCCTGCCTTTTCTCCAATATTCTTCAACCGGAAAGATCAGGACGACATGATTGATTTTTTTTTGGTGCACCTAGAAAAATGGAGTGGAATTAACATGGTTTCTTCAGGATCTATCAATTTTCATATTTATGAAAGACTGCTGTACTTGCTGAGCTTGGGATTGTGTGGCAGAAAGGAACATTGCAAAGTTTTTTTTTGCTTTTTACTTTGTGTGAAGGGGTATGTATTGGAGGACAGCAATGAGCAAATTCTACTTTTCCACATGTTCTCAGTTGCCCTGCATTACCATGGCATGATTGTTTATATATATATATATATATATATATATACACATTACATTTTCATTATGTTTTGCCAGTCCACTGCAGTCATTTTACAGACCTTTATGCCCTCTGGTATTTTAAGTAATCTTCTATTCACTGTAATGCTGTATCTGTTTCGTCAGTGCAGTGTTAAAGAAATACAATGGTTACTACTGATAGCTCCATTGGTAAAATCACCTCGAGATGGGAACCATATACATCCAATAGGTCTCAGGTTTCATTCTGCATCTCTTCTGAGTTTGCTGATCTCACCTGGATCACAGGTTGGTGACTGTAATTGGCCTCATTGTCACTGGACAAGGAAGAGGTGAAAAATCCAGGGTCTTGTTCCTGATAACTGTCTGATGCATATATGTGGGTTCTTTGTGTGGACAGCATTGGGCTCAGCTGTGATGCTGCCCCCCCCCCCCACCCAACACACAAACACAGTCCGCTAACACTCGCTATCTGGTCTTCCACATGAGGAATATCTGATGTAAATGTACTTGAGTAATGCTGGTTCCTTTGGAACAATACCTCAGAACGAGGTTGTGGTGGGAGATGGCGTGTGTGTATTTTGAGGACATGGGTGTTATTGGGAGATAGTGGTAAGGGCGGTACACGGTTGTATCTCTGTATATCTGTTTGAGTTGCGGTCGAAGGATGAATGTTTTGAGAGTTGCTCTGTTGCCATCGTGCAATTATTACTGTCTGACTCGTGCGGAAACCCATCACCATGTTTAAGAGGACCCACACCACAATGAGAGTACCGTGCATCTCACCTACACGTGGAGAAATACAGAGATAGCCTTTGTGTAATGATGTTGATGTGCGAGAGGGACTCTGAAAAGCCAGCTGGCGAGTGCCTTTGTGAACAATGGACAGTAGCTGAGGTGCAAGTGCTTCTGGAAGAGAGATGGCTCATGATTGACACTCACAGCCCACACGCTGGTAAAACCCGGAGATCACACATGAATATAGGATCCAGTGCCATGAACCTCCTGTGGTCTGGTCTTTGGAGGGGTGACCTTACCACCTCTATCTTCCTTTCTCTAGGTATTGCATTCCTGCTGAGGAGAAGAACAAACTTGATGAAGTGGTGCACACCCTGCTGCAAGCTAATGGCACGTCAGGGCTGGATATGCTTGAAAGTAATATTATGGTAAGAAAGAAAAGACCAGTCACAAAACTGTAAGAGTTCACATCTCGTCTGCAGCACTGGAACGGTGGATTTTGAACTGGGAGATTGCACTTCAGGCTTGCCTGATAACTAACTGCTGCTTTTGACAATTTGTGGTTCGATTTTTCTCAGCTTTGGTAAAATCGTCCTTGGACAAAGGGGGGGAAAAAAAGTCCTTCCTTCCTGATTAAGAATATGATGCGGCAGCATAATGCTCCCAAGGACAGATCCTTATGATGTCTTTTATGTTAATATTTATATTTATATCGTATGTATGTCTGCATTAAAATACAGGGCAGGCAAGGACAGCCTTGAGGTTGATCCAGTTGAAAAGACAGGAGTGCCTGTTAAAGCCAGGCAGGTGCGCAGCATCAAGCCTTTCTGCCTCATTGATGACGCTTCGAGGTGTAGGTGCCCTGGTCGAGGTGTCCTCCACCCTCCGAGCTAAAGCTGTCTTGAGCAGCAATGTCCTGCCTGGACAATTACTGGGAAAATCCGCATTGTTTTGTAAGCTGCACAGTTGCATTACTTTTCCATTGTCAATGACTGATCAATGTGTGTCTCTTGCTAGATTTCTCCAGAGATCCTGTGTAAGGAGGGGATCAAGGTGTATCGCACTGTACAGCAGAGTGGACAGTTTATTGTGTGTTCCCCGGGGGCCTTTGTGTCTAAAGTATGCTGTGGCTACAGTGTTTCAGAAGCTGTGCATTTTGCTTCTACCCAGTGGCTAAACACAGGCTATGAAGCTGGTAAGGTAAGAGACTCACTCATTATATATCCTATCGACACAAAGCATTTGTATCATCAGTTCTTTAAATCGTTCTCTAATGCACCTTCAGTTGTTTTAAAAGTTGTCTTCCTGCTTGAAGCATGTCAACAGCAGACACCATTCTCCTCACAATTGTGGTCTGTGTGCTCTTCCCAAGATTGCATATCTCCTGGATGATTTGTGAAGGCTCACTCATGCTCAGTTTCCTTACATATACTCTACCTTAATACTGAGGTGGGCCTAGTAGGCAAGAGCCATCTCACGTCTCTCTGTTTCAGTTGCTATGCTACTCTCAGGCAGTGGTTCTCAGTTTCTTTGGGCTCAGGACCATTTGTAAATCTCGATGGCCTGTCGCAACCCAGTAAATAGCTTTAGTGCCAAAACACATCTGCTATATATCTTACCCACGATATATACTATCCTGTAGTGTAGTGGTTAGCGAGCTTGCCTCGCAAGCGAGAGGGCCCGGGTTCGATTCCCAGATGGGGCAAAACCTTAGGCAAGTTTCCTTAATCTCCATGCCACTGTTTACCTAGCAGTAAGTAGGAACCCAGTCCTTAGTCGATTGGCAGATCACTTTCCAGGGGTAATAATCCCTTCAGAAAAAAAACAATAATTTGGTCGCTCATTCCACGACTGTTTGTGGGACACTGCTGTGCTTTGAGATGTCTAGACGACATGACATCAAATGCAAGGATTATTATCATTATATTATTATAATTATTATCATCAAGTCCTGCAATTCACAATTCCAAAATTTTCTAAAGCAGTACCTTTGGCACATTCTGGCGACACAATCTTGTGTCATGACGCAAGGGATGAGCAATCCTGCTCTAGAGTATCACTGAGGCCCTTGTCTGCCACTGGTGTACTGTGCTCTTGAAATGCACAAAACAGAAAATATGAATATTAATATTATTACTGCATTAAAATAGATCAATATTAAATGGGGACCTTTCTCTGGATCAACACATCAATTTTTACCATATTAGTCTTCGTTGGGAGTAGGGAAACAACTTGATCTTCCTATGATCTTGTTTGTTTAGGTGAAGAGAGATTGTCTATCACCAGGAGGTTGTGCAGACAATAAAGTCTCAATTGAAGTGTATATTAATGGGATCCTTTTATAAGGAATCTGAGCTGCATCAATAGGGTCTTCTTCCATTACCGGATTTGCATCACACTGACTCGGGGGAATTCTGCTCTGACATAATGTTTATCTAGATCCACAGGAAATCCTGTTAAATACTGCAAATTTATCCCTAATGGCAACTGAGTTGTCAAGTAACTAATTGTGTTTTATATATTTTAAGTCTAGATAACTTTCTTTAGATTCCAAACAGAACAAATTGAAAGCTGTTGCCTGGGATATCTTGCACTGTGTTGTGGTTCTCTGCATTATCTGACGGGGCTGCTTTTTATTGTGTTCTGTACAGGACTTGAAACGTCGATTCATCGCTAATGCTTTTTCAATGGAGAAACTGCTTTATCTGATGGCGACAGCTGAGTCTAAGCGGGAAAGTGGATCGAAGCTGAGTCATATCTCTTCACTTCTGAAAGAACTCAGGTATCGTCTAAATATCGCACATAACATTGAAACCCAGCTTCCTGAGTGAGAGAGCCCTGGTGTCTGGTAACGGCACTTGGCAGATGGTCTTTTCCTCAGCAGCTGAATGGGTGATGCTGTGTTTCCCTTTGAGATGTGCTGTCGCCTGCAGTCCCAATTCTGGATGCTTCTGCCTCCTGAGGTGCGGAAAGCCATCTCGGTATCATCACTACACTCAGCATTGACGCTAGTGATGACAGCCAGCATTATGTGCACAGCAGTGTCCCATGAACAGCCGTGAAGTGAATGACCAATTTAACTGTTGGCCAGGACACTAGGAGAAAACTTCTCTTTTTAAAGAATTGCATGAGACTTTTAGCATCCGCCTGAACGGGCAGCTCGCCTTAACATCTCATTTGAAATACTTGAAGAAAGAGTTGGGAAGTGGGACTGATTGGGCAGGTCTTCCATACAGCTGGCTCAGGTACGATGGGCCGAATGGCCTCCTTCTGTGCTGTAATATTAGGTGATTCTATGGGACCCCGACAATGCAGTTTCCCCATGCAGTGTACTGGGACAGTGTTACGTTGTCGGACTGTTCCAATACCATAAAGAGAAAATGAATGGTCAGTATTCAATCAGAAGCAGTGGCTTACAAGTGAAATGGAAGTTTTGAGAGTTAATGTATCAGTGGATGGGAGGCTGCTCTCGCTATAATCTACTTGGGTCTTTGAGAGGTCAAAGGGTCCACAGTGAAGGGCTTTCTTTCGCTTAGTCGGCTACAGTACCTAGCAGACAGTGTGTTTTCCAGTATCAGATGGCTCAGGTTTGGCTCTCAGACCATTCCTCAGTTGCCAGACCCCATTAAAAGTGAATTGAGTCCCTTCCCTATACTGCGGCCTCTGGAGCAACTCCAGAGGGAAAGAGCCCAAACATCAGGTCTCACAGGCTGGAAACGCAGTCTATCAATCAGCGGTTCAATAAGTATAAGATTATCTTTCATTCACATAACGTTGAGGGGAGGGAGAGCAGTAATGACTCCTCTTAGACTCTTCTTCCTCTTTTAAAAGGTCTGAATATTTTGTAGTGGGATTGAGAATTGATCTTTGTCCCTGCATGGCTACCGGATCTAAGATAAATGGCTCCTAGTCTTTCAGAGTTATCATTAAATACCTTTTTGAGTACACAACATAGATTATCCCCTTCCAAATCCAGTCCAGCAGGGCTGAGTGCCAGGTCAGTTTAAATTGCGTGCAGTGCAGTTTTAAAAAAATATTTTATTGTGGTATGCGTTTGAATGCCTCGTTGCAGTAAAAATGCCATGAACTTTATTTGAACTTTTTTATAGAAAAATAGTATTAAACGTCTTTAAAAAAAATTTCTTTGTAGAAAAATAGTTTCTTTTACATAGAATTATAGCACAGAAACAGGACATTCGGTCCAACTGGTCTATGCCGGCATTTATGCTCCACATGTAGTCTCCTCCTGCTCTTCCTCAACTAAGCTTTCAAGCATAACCTTCTATTCCTTTCTTCGCCCTGGTCAAGGTCACCAATGATATCCTGACCATCTGTGACCAGGGCTCCCTCTGCCTCCTCGTCCTCCTCGACCTATCGGCAGCATTCGATACGGTCGACCACTCTATCCTACTCCACCGCTTGTCCTCCCACCTCAACCTTCAAGGCACTGTCCTTGAATGGTTTAGGTCGTACCTTTCTCACCGTCTTCACTTTGTCTCGACGAATGGCTTCTCCTCCACCCCCCGCACTGTCTCATGTGGTGTCCCTCAGGGCTCTGTCCTCGGTCCCCTCCTCTTAACCCTCTATATGCTCCCCCTTGGTGACATCATCCGCAGACATGGAGTTAACTTCCACATGTATGCGGATGACATCCAACTCTACCTTTCCTCCTCTACTCTCAACTCCACGACCACCGATGTCCTGACAGCCTGCCTGTCCGACATCGAGTCCTGGACGAGAGACAACTTTCTTCAGCTCAACGTGCGAAAAACCGAGGCCCTCCTGATTGGCTCACGTCAGCGCCTCCGCACCTCAGGCGCTGACACCATCAGCATCCAAGGCTGCACTCTCCACCTCTCAAAGCCAGTCAGGAACCTCGGCGTTTTGTTCGACCCTGAGCTGTCCTTTCTCCCTCACATCCGCACCACAACTGGCACCGCCTTCCATCACCTCCAGAACATCGCCAGACTACGGCACTACCTCACCCCTCACGCTGCTGAAACCCTGGTCCACGCCTTTGTACCTCAAGGCTGGACTATGGGAACTCTCTCCTCGCCGGCCTTCCCGCCACCTCCCTCCACAAGCTGCAGGTCATTCAGAACTCTGCAGCTCGTGTACTGTCCCGCACCAGGCTTCGGGACCACATCACTCCCACCCTCGCTCGCCTCCACTGGCTCCCCATCCCCCAGAGGATTGATTTCAAGATCCTCATCCTCAGCTACAAGGCCATTCACGGCCTTGCTCCCTCCTACCTCTCTGATCTACTATCCCCCTACCTACCTGCCCGTACCCTCCGTTCCTCTGGCTCTGGTCTGCTCCACGTCCCCCGCCCCAACCGCCCTACCATCGGTGGTCGGGCCTTCAGCCTCTCAGCCCCGAGGCTCTGGAACTCCATCCCCCAGTGCCTTCGCCGCCTCCTCCCTTTCCTCCTTCAAGGCCGGTCTCAAGACCTTTCTCTTTGACCGAGCCTTCAGCTCCCCTCTCGACTCTCTTCCCCCTCCTCGCTCCCTCCCTTCCCTCCCCTCACCCTGACCATTTCCCCCCTCCTCGCTCCCTCCCTTCCCTCCCCTCACCCTGACCATTTCCCCCCTCCTCGCTCCCTCCCTTCCCTCCCCTCACCCTGACCATTTCCCCCTGCTCGGGTCATGACCCAACTGTGCAGCGCCTTGGGACGTCCTCCTGACGTGAAAGGCGCTTTATAAATGGAATCTTGTTGTTGTTGTTGTATCTAGTGTCCCCTTAAATGCATCTCTGCTTTCGCCTCAACTACTCCTTGTAGTAGCAAGTTCTACATTTCCACCACTCTCTGGGTAACAAAGTTTCTTTTGACTTCCCTATTTGATTTATCGGTGACTATTTTATATTGATGGCCCCTGGTTTTGGTCTCCCCCACAAGTGGAAACATCTTCTCTATGTCTACCCTATCAAAACATTTCATAATTTTAAAGACCTCTATCAGGTCACCCCTTATCCTCTTTTCAAGAGAAAAGACTTCAAGCTTGTTCAGGCTTTCCTAATAGGTATAACTTCGCAGTTCCAGTATAATTGTAAATTTCCTTTGCACCCTCTCCAGTGCCTCTATATCCATTCTATAATTATGAGAACCAGAACTGTACACAGTTCTCCCAAGTGTGGTCTAACCAAGGTTTAATATAAGTTTAGCATAATTTCCCTGCTTTTCATTTCTATCCCTCTAGAAATGAACCCCAAAGCTTGGTTTTCTTTTTTATGGCCTTGTTAACCTGTGTTGCTACTTTGTGATTAGAGATTTGTGTATTTGTACCCCTTTGCTCCTCTACCCCAATTAGGTTATTATTTTCCAGGCCATATGTGATCTCCTTATTCTTCCTACCAAAATGTACCACCTCACACGTATCTATATTGAAATGCATTTGCCATTTAAATGCCCATTCAACAAGTTTTGCTGTAATTTGTTGCAGTCCTCCTCTATATTAACTACTCCACCCAATTTGGTATCGTCTGCAAATTTTGAAATTGTACTTTTGATCCCCGAGTCCAAATCATTAATGTATATTGTGAACAACAGTGGTCCCAATACCGATCCTTGTGGAATACCACTGCCCATCCCCTGCCAGTCTGAGTAGCTACACGTTACCCCTACTTTCTGTTTTGTAGCCAGCTTGCTATCCATTCTGCTACTTTTCCTCGGACTCCACATACTCTGACCTAACTTGTTAGTCTATTATGTAACTTATCGAACGCCTTTTGGAAATCCCAATATATTATATCTACCACGTTACCCTTGTCTACTCTTTCTGTTACCCCTTCAAAGAATTCAATGAGGTTGGTCGAGCATGACCTTCCTTTTTGAAATCCGTGCTGACTATTCTTTATTATGTTTTCCGTTTCTAGATGTTTTTCTATTACCTCTTTCAGTAAAGATTCCATTATCTTTCCTACCACCGATGTTAAGCTGACAGGTCTATAGTTCCCTGGATTTGTTCCATCTCCCTTTTTAAATATAGGTATAACATTAGGTATCCTCCAGTCCTCTGGCACTACTCCCTTTTCTAATGAATTATTTTATATATATATAATAGTGACTCTGCTATCTATCCCTTGATTCTTTTAATATATGCGGATGCAATCCATCTGGACCAGGGGTTTTATTCTCCCTGAGTTTGGTTAGTTTATTGATTATCACCGTCCTTTTTATCTTAAATGTACTTATATCTTCTTCTACTATCATGTCCACTTGATCTGTCCCCCTGGTGAATTCTGAGGCAAAGTAATTATTCAATATTTCTGCCATTTCGCTGTCACGGCCCCTGAGTTTATCTTGCCCATCCCTTAGTGGCCCTATTTTATTTGGATTTTTCTTTTGTTATTTATGTCTGTAGAATATTTTACTATTTCTTTTTACATTCCTTGATAATTTAACTTCATAATTCCTCTTTGCCTTCCTGATAGTTTTCTTGACTATTTTCCTGACCTCCTCGTATTCTTATTGGTCATGCTCTCCCTTGTTGTTTATGTACTTAGTGAACAGCCTCTTTCCTCAGCCTAAACTTTGCCCTTATGTCTTTATTCATCCACGGTGTCTCATTATTGTTTAGCTTTGTCTTGTTTTTTAGCAGAACATATTTCTCCTGGACTCTATTGATCACAGTTCTAAATGGTTCCCACTGGTGCTCTATCTCTTTGTTTGCCAATATTGTTTTGCAGTTTATTTTATTTTCTAGTTTATTTATTCTCATCCCCTTAAAATCAGCTTTTTTCCAATCTATTACCCTGGTCTTTGTCATACTCATGTCCTTCTCAATCCATAGTTTAACCCTTATTAAATAATGGTCACCATTGCCTAGATGTTCCCCTACTCGTACTTCTCTTATCTGCTCTGGTTCATTTCCTATTACTAAATCCACCAGGGATTCCTCCCTTGTTGGGCTTCTTACATACTAGGTAAGAAAGGAGTACTGTACACATTAAAGGAACTCCATTCCCTTACCCCCTTTACCACCCTGTTCCAGCCAATGTATTTGGGGGTGGTTGAAATCCCCCTGATTATTACTCTGTCTTTTACTCATTTCCCTTATTTGCTTGCATGTTTCTTCCTGTACCTCCCTTCCACTATTAGGTGGTATGTAGAGAACCCCTATTTGTATAATTGATTCCTTTTATCTTTTATCTATATCTACACAGATATTGTGTCTATCTTACTGACTGTTATGTCCCTTTTTTCTACTGCCATAATGTTATCCCTAATAAGTACAGCTACTCCACCACCCTTTTTCCCGCCTCTATCCTTTCTAAATATGTTATCCCTACTCTATCTGGTTCCTCACTACGAATTATTGTCTGCAGTTCTCTTTGTTTTATTTCAGATGCTGTGCACATTGCTGTACAGACAGTTTAATTCGTTTTTATAAGTTGTTCCTCTCACTTTATTTTTGACACTTCTGTTCTATAATTGTATTAATTCCCTGACCACATATGTTCTCCTTATTCCTTAGTTTTATCTAAACTATACTCTCATCTCCTACTTCCTTTATATTTGGGTTTATGTCATTTCCTCCTGATCCCTCCCCACAATTTACTAGTTTAAAGCTTTCGCCGCAGCCCTATTTGCCTGTTCTTCTGGGGTGTGACTGAGTTCTGGATAAAACTGTCCAGAAATTCCTCCCCCTTTCTTATTAGTGTGTCTAACCCGCACTCCAGCTCAATGATTCTGAGCCGGAGTGTGTCAAACCAGAGACATTTCCTGTAGACATGATAGACCGGGACAGTGTCACAGCCCACAGACTCCTATATACTGCATTCCCGACACACTGCCTGTGCTGTCATTTCTACTTATTTTATTAGTTATTTATGTAGTTCAACCTCTGCATCTAATTCCCACTCTCACCCAATTCCTTCTCATTCCAGTCCCAGCTCACTCCGTTGGGTTTGACTTTTTTTTGCTGGAGTCAAACATCTTTTACAGTAAACCTCAAATCAGTCATATCAGTTGGGACCATACGTTTAATATGGCTTATGCAAAGTAGGAATTATGTCCAACTCGCATAGAGTATGAACTCTTGAACACAAGTTTTACTGTACCTTTTAAAAGCAGTGGTTCATAATTTGTCCCTTAACATGATTTATAAACTGCCATAAACCTACTCCTGAAGGCAGCTGAGCTGGTGCTGCAATATCTGCGCAGTGTGACTATGTATATAAAGTGTGTGTGTGAGGGGCGGGAGGGTCAGGTGTACACAGAGCACCTGCGGGATTGCTGTGTTCAGTGTGAGCGACTGGCTGACACTGAGCCGTGTAAGTAACGTGCATTCCCATCTTCACACAGGGATTCAGAGTTGAAACAGCGACAGCAGCTGTTTGAAGCGGGTTTGCATTCGTCAGCTCGTTACGGCAGCCACGACAGTCACCTGTCCATGATGGATATGAAGAAGAAACCACGCAAGTGGTTGGCGTCAGAAACGTCGGAGCGGAGATGTCAGATTTGCCAGCAGCTGTGTTACCTCTCCATGGTGAGTGCTGGTTGGTGTGGCAGTGGCAGCCTAAGCTCAGAAGCAGCAGATGTATGTCCAAGCCCGACTGCAGTTGAAACATTTAGCACTTAGACAACCACAAATCAATTTTCCTCATCCTCGCTCTCACTGAAGGTTCATTTCCCCCAGTTTGCCCCCTGGCCCAGATTAATACCAATCAGTGCGGCACTCTTTAAGGAACAAAGTGAGTCGCCTCTCGCTGCCAGGGGGGCGTAAGTGATATCAACGGTTATGAACATTTTGCCCAGTGTTTCCAGACTCGGGAAAGCTAGAATCAGGCCTGGTGCTTCCTTACCTGTGTCCTGTGACCGTTCCTGGGAAATTCACATTTAGTGCTGTTGGGTGCAGACTAGGCTTCCATTGCTTGGGGCACCATAAAAGATCACATTCCCCTGTTGGTTCTCTCTGCCCATTCTCCCCCAGGTTACATTGGCTTGTTAATGCTCTACGTCCAGGTTCTCTCTCTGTTTGGATAGTTGCTATCTCAGGCATGAGACCCAACTTCCTGGCGAGAAGAGACCAAAGACTGAGAAATACCAGATATTTAGCCGACCTCCTTATTCCTCAGCCACAGGCTTGATTTGCATTGACTGAGAAGTATTTTGCAGTGTAGTGTGCAGGTTTTGATTTGCAATTTCCTATCTGAGCTTTCACATCAATACTGTTGGAGTTTATGGATGCAGGATTGCCTCAAACCATTTTCCCCTTTACTTTGAAACAGTAGAAGCTGTAATTCAGGCTCAGGTCTTCCAAGCCAATGCACAGCTGCAAGTCAGCCAAATCTTTGTCTTAAATTGATGGGCCTTGATCTGTTAACTGATGACAGATCTGTTTGATCTGACTTTGTAGATGTATGGAAACTGCCTGAAGTAGCATTTTTATAGATGTTCTAAGTGGATTGCTTGGAAAGCCACAAAGTAGTCATTGCCTTGGAGAAGTTGTGTTTGTTGTCTTGTAATAATGGACTGTCTGTTCCAGGCTACTCTTTGAAAGAAGCTTCTCCTGTCACTGACTTCCCTCTCCTCCCTCCTGGCCCCAATAGAAACTAGCAACCTTTCAGATTTTTTTTAGTCTGGACAAAACTAGACTAGCCCTGGATTTACGGATCAGAAGAGAAAAATGGAAAAGTGATCTGCTGCACACTATCGACAGAAGTCTTATCGTGGGTTGAAGATGATGTTTCGCCCACAGAATATACAGTCAATTCATTTTACAGTATATTCTATGAAGCTCTTTGAGACGTCTACAAGACGTGATAAGGTGCTATATCAAATGGAAGTATTATTGTAGGTTTGCCTTGAGACAGAAATGGAAATAATTTTGAGACTGTTCTCAGTAAGTAAGGTATGGCAACCATTTCTGCTGCACAGTAGGACAAACCTTACAGATTCACTTTTTTGCCTCCTCCCCGAGCCCCATTGCAGTTAGATAGATGCAAACATTAGAAATCCAATGTAACATTTTAGGATTGTTTCTGAAGCGAATGTAATAATTACTGAAATTTCTCTCTCCAGGTAGTGCAAGAAAATGAGAACGTTGTGTTTTGTCTGGAGTGTGCTCTCCGCCATGTAGAAAAGCAGAAGTCTTGTCGTGGGTTGAAGATGATGTATCGTTATGACGAGGTTTGTCAATAGTAAATGTATATATTCTCTTGTGTTTTTATATTCCCTGTAATGAGAGGGCACTACAAGGTTGGGTAGGGGCCATCTGAAGTGATTTCCTTTGATGTTTTGGCCTCCCAGAGGAAGTCTGCCCACAATGTAGGGATTAGAAGCTTCCGTTCAGCTGTGAGTCCTGCAGCGTAGTGGCTAGAGCATTTGCTTCACAAGCGAGAGGTCCCGGGTTCAATTCCCAAGCAGATTGAAACCTTGGGGAAGTTTCCTTACTCCACACGTCTGTTTACCTAGCATTTCTAAGTTAAGGTAAGTAGAAACCTAGTTGTTAGACGATTGCTGGATTGCTTTCCAGGGAAATAATCCCTTTAAAATAAATAATTAAATAATAATTTGGTCATTCAATCCACGGCTGTTTGTGGGACACTGCTGTGCACAATTGGCTGCAGTGTTTCATCCACAAAATATAGTCAATTCACTTGACAGTATATCCTGTGAAGCGCTTTGAGACATGTCAATGAATATCAAATGCAAGGATTATTATTATAATAGTTCAGCATATTGGCAAATGACACAGCAATTGAGTTGTCGCTGTGTTTTTCCCTTGTGTACAGTTGCCATGCCCTACTCTGCAACAAGAAAACGTTGTGAGCTACGTCACACTCAGTAGGATGCAGCACAAGCGTGTCTGAAACGTATAAACTCCACTTGCAAGAGTTGAACTTACCAGGTTCTCTGGTAGTTCATGCTGGAATTCTGCAAGTAATGAGGACTGAAGTAACCAATAATGGGAACTGAAGGCAGGAATAACCTGGACTATCAACAGTCCACGTCTCTTCCAGTCTTTGAGGACGTTTTCAACAGAAAATTGCTGTGATGCACAGAGGTTGAAGGGGGAAGTTTGATCAGGAGAAGCAGCAGTGGACAGGTGCTGACTGATACAAGAAACACTAGTCATGGGAACACATGGTGTAAGAGGGAAATTGCCTTGTTCATCAGGGCAATTTACCACTTTTGAATCCTGACCTAGAAGTACAGAATGATGGCATTCAATAGGGTGGGTTGTAAAATCTGTAATAATTGGCTGGTCTTTGCTGCTTTCCTATCAATATCAAATATAATTGTTGGTTATCCTGGCTTATGTGGTCTCCAATTTACACACAGGTTCATATTAACTGGCTGCTCGTCTCTGTTTATGGGATGTCGTTGGTCTAGTTTAACTGCAGCATTTGCTTTCACAACAATATCCAATTTCATTTTTGATCAACTTTATTTGTGTAACACTTCCAGATGTTTATTTTACATGAAGGTGCTATATAAACACAGCCCTGTTTTTGAATTTTACTGATGCTTTTAAGTATTTGTATATCTACATGTCCTCTGCCATTTAGAATTCTGCTTCCTTTCACTGATCAGCAGAATTTATGATTTCATCTACAAAATATAGTCGTACTTTGCAGTATGTCCTGTGAAGGGCATTGGGACATCCTCCTGACGTGAAAGATGCTATACCAAATGCAAGTTATTATTGAACTGTTTCCCACTGTTTAATACCATATGAATATCTAGGTACTGATACTTTCAGGTAATAATGTCAAAACGCAGATGGATTTGTATTGCTAATAATAACTGAATTGTATCATGTATTAACTAAATATTAATTAATTGTTTAAAATATTGAATAAATTATAGACCTTTGGAAAATACTTGCCTTAAAGCAAGACTTCAGGATCTGTGTGGATGGACATCATTGGTGTCTAATTTACAATATCTTCCCATTAAAATTCCTGATGTTCTCCAAAAAATATATAGATACCATTGGTACAAGTTGATGGGGTTTTAAAACAATATTTTGCTCTTGTGCCAATTCAAATAATTGATGTCAAAATATTTTTGTTGGTTTAATATTAAAGGAACAAATAAACAGCTTGGTAAATCAAATCTGTGGAAAAGTAGCAGCCAAGAGCAGCAGCAACAGTAGCAGTACCAGCAAGTCCACACTGAAAAGAGGACCTCGAAAGCGAGCAACCATTGATGTGCCAGCAACTAGACTTTCATCCTTGTCCAGAAGTGCTACAAGTTTCCCATGAAGTTGCCAAGTTTCGTACTCGTTTGGTTTTTTTGTACTATAATTTGTGAGTACTTGCTAGAAGAACGCAAGCTGTCTTTGCACTAGCTCTGAAGATAATTTCTGTTTTTGTTTATAGAAAGAAAAGCAGTTGTTTTAGCATTAAAAAGTTGGCTTATTTTTTTAGGAACACCGGACGCTGCAGTCGGCAGTATTTTTTTGGAATGCAGTAGTCGTGTTTTCATTCACTGTTAAAACCAAGTCAAAGGGCTAAGCAGTAATCTAAGTTTGCATTTGCCCTTTTGGCTAAAGCAAACCTCTTATTTTTGATTTTTTTTGTTACTGTGAAACAGGTGGGATGTTTTAAACTCCTTTTGATCTAGGTTGAAGTTGAGTGCTGTGTGTTTTTATCTTGCAATTTCAGTCATGCGAGCAGCTTTTGGAGGAAGGGGAGGCAAAACTTGAAAGAAACTGCTTCAGTTTGGCTAGGTTTTACTTTTTGGTTAAGTGTAAGTTGAGAAATTGCTTTTCTATTTGGAAAATTGTATTATTATTTTTAAGAGTCACGGCAGCTGATACTTGATCCGGTTTACAAAATATAAAGAAATGGTGATCTTGAAAGTAAAGCAAAGGTGATTTTTTTTCTCCTTACCAGCACATCACTATGCATCTGTAATAATAAGGCTGCCTGGCTGGAGGAAACTGTGCCTGACTTTCATTAGCAAATTCATAAAAAAAACTTTTGGTGCTGTCAATCATTTTTATCAAAACCCTACAACAGTGTCCTTTATCAATTTATTGAAGCAGGAATATCTGCTTCGCCTTTGTAGATGTGCAATCTTTGTAACATTCCATTTTAATTCCACTTTCATCTCTATATTCCTTCTCCATCCTTCCTTACTGACACAGAATCAGCATTAATGTTCAGTTCATTGGTGAGATGGTCACAATGGAGCCACTAGGGGATGTGCATATTTCTTTGTGAAATGTGAAAATGCATTTCCTTCATTGCTATTTGTGTTTTACTTTACTTTCCATGTTTGTAAAAAAAGGAAAAAACAAAAAAGACTAAACAAAAATACTTTGTATATACACCTGTAAATTGTTTTAAATACTTGAGCCTTTTGTGGGGGGGGAAAGAGATGAAGAAAAGCCTTATGTTTCAGTTTCTTCATCGGTTTTTGGATGCTTACAGGGTTTCTTGTAACATTTAAGTGCTGCTTACATCACTGAACAAATAATGGAGTAGCTGTTGCCCCTTTCAGTGTAAAAAAGGGAAACATTGTTCATTAACTAGTTTTCATTGCTGAAACTGCAACATTAATTGTAGCTACCCATGTTGCACTGAGCTTGCCAGTGGTGACTGTCAAGAAGTCATTTTTTTCCCAGTTGTTGGTTGTTGTTGCTGCAGAAGACTGAACTTGCTTTGGAGTATTTAACAACATAACTGATTTCAAGTGTTTTCAAATGTGGTTGTCCAGTTTTTATGGCCTTACTATGTATTTTGTTTTTCCTTTGAGAGCAGACATCTTTTGACTATTGCTTACAGAATTGACATTTAATTTATTAGTGCTGCTCTGCACCTTTCCTTTCTGTGCGGAAAGAGTTCACGTTGTAATTGCGAGTTTTTTACTTTTCAGGTTTGTACTTAAAAGTTTAATAAAACTTTTGAGCAGTTTCCTGTGCATGAGTAAATTTTTGAGTACTTACCTGTGTGAATGCACAAATACAAATCTGTTGAGCATAACTACAGTATAATGTTGCGGTTCAAGTTTTATCATTTCAATGTCGGGGCAAAAATGCATACGATACAGTCTGGTTTGCAAATATTGAAACCCAATTACAAGCAGACCAGTGCCACATACTGCTTGGCACCTCTAAGTATCTAACTTAATATATATTCTGTTTTGGTCTGGTCTGGTGCACTATTCATTCCTCACTCCTTAAAGTAGACTCAGTTGGTGGCTTGAGTCATGCTACTGCTCTCTGGAAACCTTGCTCCCCCCAAATCCCTTCAAAACATTTTTGATCATACTGCCAGTCAATTCGTTATTACTTTCTCGTGCTCCCCTCTTGATAATTCTGTCTTTGAAACACTACAGGACAATTATCCTGCATGAAATCAAATGTCATTAGGAATAATGCTGTAGTACAATTTGTGTTCCCTCAGGGCTCACGTTTACTGAATATCACAACAGATATTGCAGTACAAATGCAGCATTGGATTCAATCCTTTCACCAATTGAGGGCTCCTGAGATGAACAGCATTATTGGATTTTGTTTCTTTATAATAAAAATACAATATCAAACTATAAACTTAAGTGGGAGTATATGATTTTGCACTTAACCAGTTTAAGCTATCAAATCCAAAATATTTGACAAGCAAATTTCCTACAGCGGCTGAATGCTTAGAGAAAATAATTTGAAAGCATCTCCTTCTATCCATTTTTACATTAGTGCTCACTTGGTGGGGGGGGGGGGGGGGATAAACAGTTGAAAGTAGATGTCTTAAGTGACATCCCTAAAAAATCAAATTGTACTACAAAATTAATTGACTGGAAATACATCAAGAGTAAAGGAATACCTCCCAATCCAGATTCAAAGGATGCAACCCAGCCTCATACAGTGTTTGAAAATTGCCAAAATAAACTTTACTTGTTGGTAAGTACAGTGTGTAGGAAGGTGAAAACTTACAGAAAAATGCTTCATTAGTCAAGCCTGAGAAATTTGCTTCTGTAATTAAACTAATTAGGCCAGTCTACCGCTTCTATACATAGTCATTGTTAATCCCGCAGAAACACTAGGTAACAAAAGTTACTGGTTCAAAACAGAAGAGCAAAAGGATTCATTGGGTTAGCCATCACAGAAGGTTCTTCATTGTGTGATTCAGGTAGATTTTAGTTCTCTTTACTGAGAATCACTGTCAGAGTTCTCTTTTGGATCTGAATTTACTGCAGTCAGAGTGGTGTCCACTTGAACTTCCTCTTCATCAGACTGAATCACTGGAATGTCTTCCACACCACTACCTTCTTCACTCTCATCCTGTTTAGCAGAGTTGGTGCAAGTGGAAGATAAAGAGGATAACTTCAATCTCAGCTCAGCTTGTGTTGGCACTTGCAGAGTTATTTCACTTTGACATGGCCCTGTACAGAAGGGGGAAAGCAAACAATTAGGGCATTTACTGTGGACCATCATTCAGTGATCTAATGGTCTGCCAAAAGGAATCATTTGGGTGTTTTCAAACCAGCTGCACTTAAACACTAGAGTCTAATTTGTAGCATCTCTTAAAGGGATTAAGTGGACACCAAACTAAAAAAAAACAATGTAGCACACAGACTTGCTGCCACTCTTAACATGGATTGGATCAGCCAGATATCTGACACGTGCGGAAACCCATTGCCATGCTTAAGAGTATCCAACCAAGCTGAGATTTCCAATGCATCCCACCTATACATGGAAATCCCAGAGATAGATTGTTGGAATGGAATGCGCACTCTCTCCCTGGAGGGACACATCCTGATGACCTAACTCCGGAAAGTATTAGGCGCAGGTTGGCAAAAGCCAAGGCTTGGGGATTCCAGAGTTGGGTACTGCTGGAGTCTAACCAGCTAAAACCGCAAAGCTTGGCATTGATATTGCAATTGGATAACACTGGTTCATTCTCCACATGAAAGTTCCCATCCTCCCCATTCCACTGAAGGGTTGGCCAGTCAGTCATTTCTTATGGAGATGGGAAAGTGGACAAAATACCAGATTCATTTGGAAAACATCACATGTTAGCACTTCTCGGTTATCAAGAATCACTGGGCCTTTTATGCTAAGTAATACAATTACCAAAGTGTACCTTTTAAGGACAGCTAAATAAGACAAACCTTGAATAAAGTTGAATTTCAATCCAGAAACAAATCTAATCCTACATAGGGTGAGCTAAACATTCACTTTGTTGTAAAGTGTTTCTCATGAAGAATAATCACGAGTTTGAAAAATTCAAAACTTGTGGCTGTGCAGGAAAACAGGTTTCAGAGACAGGTACGATGTCCCTGATTGATATTTTGATGAAGAACCTCAAAACTGTGATTCTCTGCTTAGGTGTTAATGGCCTCTATGGAGAAAATCACAGAGAAGTTATTACATTTAATAAGGAAGTGTCATCTTTGTGTGATGAGATTTAGGGAGTTCAAGGGAGTGGGTTTGAATTTGTAGGTTTAAATACAGTTAGGTGTAATATCTTGCCTCATGAAAGCTACTAAGAGACTGTCACATGACTTGCTATAATCAGATTGCTCTACAGAGACCAGGGGAAAAAATCAATTTACATATACAGTGCCTTTTACGTTGGGTGGGGGACATTTCAAAGCGCTTCTGACTAAGAATCTGAACTGGGGTGGAAGGGGAGCTGTGGAGGAGGCAAGCAAAGGGTTAGAGTTAGTTTGTGGGAGGACGGAAGTTGAGGGAATAGGCAATAATATGGAGTTAAGGGAAAGCTGAGTGAGTGAGAGCCAAGCTGTAGAGTTTGAAAAATCTGCACTGCAAATTTATGAAAGACTGAGCTTTTTTCTGCTTTGTCTTTTGCAAATAACTGTTTTGAAGACCGATGGTCAAGCCCAGCAACTCAAGAATTTATCAAGAGATTAGTTCGTCATTCACCTCATTGGTATCTCACCTACAAATACAGTCACCACACTTTACATTAAAATCCTGTGAAGTTATTTGAGATGTTTCAACACCATGATAAGCACTATATCAAATATGAATGTTTCTTGGTGATGCTAGCAAAGATTAGTTGCCTGCAAAGATCCAGCTGATTCAGAACTCTGCTGCCTGCACACTGAGCCAGACCAAACTCCGTACCACATCTCACCAGTTCTGGCCGGGCTCCACTAACTCCCCATCACCGAACAGATCAATTTCAAGATCCTCACACTCGTGTTCAAATCCCTTCACTCTCTGGCACCTCCCTAACTCTCTGACCTCCTCACTCCCCATTCCACCACCCAACACCTACACACCATCTGCCCCACCATCGGAGCCTCATGCTTTCAGCTACTACGCCCCCAAATCCTGGAACACTCCCTCAATCCCTCCACCTTATCCCTTCTCTCCCCTTTTTCAAGTCCTGCCTGAAAACTTTCCTCTTCGACCATGCTTATGGCCACCTCCCCCATCCCAGCTCGGAGTCAGGTTCCGCCACTGTAAAGCGCTCTGAGGTGCTACTCTGTGTGGAGGGCGCTATATAACTTATATAACTTGTACTTACAAGTTGTTGTTTCATAAGTCACTTTTTAAAAAAAAAACTAAGTCCTGATATAGTGTATTTATTCTTAACCCGGGGGGAACAAAGTTTTTACATTTCCTAGCAAAGTTTGCTAACAACATCAGGAGTATATGGAAATCAAAATAAGCTTAGTTCCTCAAAAATAAACACATTCATAACACTACTCTTGTAATAAAGATTTCTCACAACAGAAATGCAGCAGAGATCTGGAAATCCTTTCATGGAGAACTCAGAAGATGTTTATGATGCACAATCATGCAATGTAATTCATATGACAGCAACATTTGTCAGTTTTATTATTTTTTGGAAGCACGTTTTTTTCCAGACCACTGCTTTTTTGATTCACATTTAATAGCTTAAAATTGCTCCATTTTAGAACACAGACAGACAGACTCCAGAGCCAGGCTCCAGGGAAGGTCAGGAAACCTGAGGCTTCAACAACTAAGAAAGTAGAAACTATTTTAGAACTGGAGTATTAAAAATAAGTATCATATGGGGCATAATTGTACATTACAACATTGCATTTCCAACTGGTGTATCCTATTACATAATTGTGCATGTATTGTGCATTACTATTATGTAATATTGTGATGTTGATGTGAGTTATAATTATCGTAAAAAGTGAATTTTATATAAGTGGTGACAATTATTTATCCACAACAAGAATACCAGAGTACCAATTACATCAGCCTACAGGTCTTGACCGTTCATTCTCTCCGGCAACTTTGTTGCCTTTTAAAAAATCTATCAAACTCAAATCTTTTCCTGATCACTTGTTCTATGACCTGCACACCAATTTCCCATATTTCCTAGAACAAGTTCTGACCTCTAGTCATTTAGGTAATACATATATTGTGCTGCCTCAGGCAAACGCAAGTTGCCACCAATGACCAAATACAATACAATTCAGAATTACATTCGTATAGAGCCTTTCATGTGGGGAGGATGTCCCAAGGCGCTGGACAGTCAGGGATCTGGATCCAAACATGGGCAAGGAGTGTGGCCGAAGGCACGATCCAAGAGGAGTCTCGATACGTGCCCTGAAGAAGGCAAGGGAGAGCGCGAGGCAAAGGGAATGGAGTTCCAAAGGGTGTGGACGGAGAGGCTGAAGGCCCAACCCCTGATGATGGGGGGGCAGGAGGGGGACCTGGAGCAGGCCAGAGCCTGCTGAGCAGGGGGAGCGGATGGAGAGAAGTGTTGGACTAAATCTAAAGTTCAAATATTATGCCAACAACAGTTATTCATTAGGAAATCAGACGCATCAATTTCTTCTGTAACCCATTACAATACTAACAGAAATGTTAAAGCACATCCTTCCCCCCAGAAAAAAAATACTTAAGATAGAAAAATCCTTGGATGATCATTCGTGTGTTGGAAATCATAATTAAGTTCACTTTGAAAAAAAGTTATATTTGTACTGATGATTCCTAGATCATAGACAATTCCGCCTGCCAACTAAGGGAGCCTTGAGCCACCTTTCAAGTGGCTTTTGGGTAACTAGTATTTACAAAATAGTGTTTGAATGGTCTTGAAAAGATGAAGATTTGGCTTTAGTTTCTACAACTATTCTTGGTCTCTGAAATAATGCATTTGGATCTTTAATATCTATCTGAACCACCAGAAAAGGGAGATGAGACCTCGATATAACATTTCATCTGAAAGACACCTCCAGAACTGCACTGAAAGGTTAGCCTAGATTGCGAGTTTAAATCACAACTACAATCTTCTGATCCAGAGACAAAAGTGCTACCAACAGAGTCAAAGTGACACTTATATTAAAAAAGAGTTATCTGGAGGGAGTAATCTCATCTCAGGGTTCAAACGACTGACAAACTGCTTGAATTTTTTTACTCAAGTCTACAATAATCTCCTTCAAAGAGATTACTGATTTATAATCACATGTAGGTATGTTATTTTCTATGTAAACAATTTTGTGAGTTTTATTTAAACAATACTGAAACAATTATAATGCATTTAGAATCAAAATTCCAGACAACTACAATTAAGATTTATTGACATAGTGTCTGGCACATATAAATATGCACTCAACTGCTTTCGTTGCCAATTCAAGAAAAATTGCTGATTTTACAATACAAGTATATTATTCCCATCTACCGGTGGCAACCAACCTGTGGCCCGCGGTCCAGCGGGCCGGAAATGGCCCGCTGGACCGCGAAGAAGCAGCCCCTCAAACATTCGCACAAGTCTGGGTAAGTTCATGTTCGATCGGAATTGTGTTTTCAGTTTTTTTCTGGATTGAATATTTCTGGATTTATGGAATACATTTTAAAAACAATTTCCAAAGGCCCGTGTGTAGAGTCCTGCCGGCACAAATCGTTGGCACTTGTTTTTTTTTAAAAATTGGGGGTTTAAAGCCTCGTCTTACCAGGTTCAAATTCTGGATACCGAGAAACCAGGGTTTACTGTAATTTCTATTTTACTTCAGCACAATTTTTAATTGATGTTGCTATGCTGCCACCAAGTGGTAAGAAAGAATAATTTACCTAATACTGGTGAGATTTCACTGTTGTCTTCTGAGTTAAGAAATACATCTAGTGCTTCTTGGTCAGACATGTCCATCAGGTCCATCTGTTCCAGCATGTCCACATTTACCTCCATAGAGGACATGCTTCCGATGGGTTCTAGAAACAGAAATGAACAAGATAGACATCAAAAAACAAATGATAACTACTTCAACATTTATTCCAATCAGTATAATTTGCATTCCTTAACAATTAAGGATGGGGGAAGGAGAAGGAGAAGAAAGTGAGCAAAATTATTTTGTTTTTGTATCACCAGACTTGTCCTGCAGCTAGATTTCATGTCCTTCCAATATGAAAGCTGCTATATAGATGTAAATTTATATTATATAAAGTGCACATTAGTATTCAATATTTAAATTAAATGGCACAAGTTTGCCTTACCTTTTCTTTTAAACACAAATTGAACATGTACTGGCACACAAACCCTTCACACATCAGATGAGCAGTTTAGCTGCATTAGCAGAGCAAAGCCAGGAGCCAGTCCTGAGCTCCTGTGTAACTAAAATGCTGGAAGGTATTACCTGGAATCTGAGTTTGTGAATACACGTTCATATGAGGGCTTGGAATCCACCTTGATTGGTATACAGAGACAAATAGCCCCGATCAAGCTCTGCATCTCTAACTGGTGGAACCCTCATTCATTGGGTAACAATGCTGTCCAAGCCGTGGGCTTAAAGATGGTGATAATGCTCCTAAGCAGTTCCTGGTACCTGCCAGCCATCAAGTGAGCACCCATACCTATACTTGCAGTATGTCAAATGACTAACTTCATGGCTATCTTCCGGGGGTCGGGGGGTGGCAGAGAGAAGGTAAGCAGCGACTTCGTGGAAATGAACTGGCTCCAAGAAATGAACAAGTTACATATCAAAAAACAAAAGAAAAGTACTTTGGCAAATAATGCATTTATTCCAATCAGTATAATTTGCAATGATGGAGGACGGAGAAGCAAGCTCTTGCCAAGTTGCACCCAATATTCTCCAGAATTATGTAAGCGGGATGATGCCTCCAGGCAGAGATTGCGCATTCCATTGCAGACACAAGAATTTCCATGTGTTGGTGGGTTACAAATGGACATTTCCTATTTGTCTCAATTCTCTTTTTTAACAAGATTTCTTATTACATTGTATAGACTTAAGTTTCACTTTACAGACTTAATAAAACGTGGGACTTTTCCTACTTCAAAGTAAAAGTTTGTACTGTCCTCCATACCTGGGTTAGATTACACAACCAACCTCTGAAGAAAAACAATGGGTCTCAGGACACATCTCCTTCCAGAAACAGCACTGCACATATTCACCAGAACTCTTATGGACCCATTTGAAGGTAAAACAAACTCCACAACATCTTTGCTTCCTCATATACACAAACTGTTTCAACAAAACGTTTAAGCGCTCCGAGACACTATCCCACGCGGAGGTCGCTATACAAATGCAAGTTGTTTAATCTTCCAATTCCACTGTGATTTAGTAATCAATGGAAAACCTGACTGCACATTTTCAAATCACTCCCACCAAAGAATTTGGAAATCCACCAGGGAACTGCAATAATACTCAACGAGTTGTGCAATATCTTTGAATCCTTTCTTACATCATAAATATTAGAAAATTAATAAAAATTCAAATGTTTCAAAAGAACGTTACAACAAATCAGATCTATCATGTGCTTCCATGCTATGCATAATTCCCAAGCCATTTTCATGTAATCCAGACTTAAATAAATATATATGATAAAACAGTGAACAAGCCTGCTTTACGTGTTTATTCTTGGCTGTATTCTCTGGAGGAAATAATTGATGTTTCAGGAGTTTTTCAGCCCCAGATCATTAAATGGCGAGCAGTCACCTGATACCCCCTTTTTTTGCAATTGATGCTTCCAAGTGTAAACATTTTGTGCTTTAAAATTTTATTGAGGTGAGAAAAGCAGTGGATGGATATGTGTAGTTCAACCAGTTAATACTGCACTGAGAACACTGCTGGCAAAATTTCTGTTGTTTGTCCAGCTTGGACCACCCTACCAATTGGAGATTTAGTTTGCAGGGTTAACAGGAGCCAAATGGGAAGAATACCTGCCCCAGTCTTCCCCTTCAAGCCCTGCTGACTGGTCTGTCAACAGTTGTGTGTTGGAAGTACTGGGACCACCTGGCTCGGGAACCGGACAACTGAGACCACCACAGAGGGTTGGCTTGTTTCTGACATTCTATTACCAAAACATATTTCCTCTGTCAGCTCAGCACTGATGAAACTCTGTTTACCCACCCCACTCCCAGGATATTCATGAGTTTGTCATTTGACATCTGACAAACATAGGTTTGATCCCTCACAAGGTGGATAGCAGGTACCAGAAATTCTCTGAGAGTTTCCTGCTGAGCAGGACAACTCAGCATGAAATGCATGCGAGCATTTCCACCATCCTCTAGTTCACAGCTCAGCAATACATCCCCATGCACACATGATTCATTAGTTAGAAGTGCAGAGCTTAAGCAGCAGCAGCATGCCCCTCTTGGTAGATACCCAGCCCTAGAATCACAAGACCCCTTTATAAGTCTCTTCACTCAAGTTCTTCTTTCTGCTTTTATTACTCATATCCACACTTTTTCTGCTGATGCGAAATGCTTGACATTCACCAGTGTTAAATTTAATTTGCCATACGTCTATTCAACCAATCTAAATTCTACTAATCTTTTGCTGCATCCTTCATTTCTCCTGCTAACAACTAAAACTGCATTTGGATTCCATAATATTCTATTATCATCCATGTATCATGTGCACTAAAACATTCATATACTATGTATAAAATTATAAAGGGTTTGACAGGCTGAATAGTGAGCAGCTGTTTCCTTTGGTGAGACAATTGAGGACTAGAGGCTATAGTCTGAAACTTGAAGCTAAACCTTTTAAAAGTGAAATAAGGATTTTTTCACGCAGAGGGCAGCTGAGACAGAGTCAACTGAAGAATTGAAAGACATACAAATAAATATTTGATAGACAACTGTATCAAGGGATATGGAGAGAGGGGTGTAATTAAGTCGCAGATTGCCCATGATTTCGGAAAGTGGTGGGACAGGCTCGATGGGTCGAATGGCCTATTCCTGTTCAAAAAAAATGAATACATATATTGATTTATAGTAAAACATTTGATTACAGGTTTTTAAACTGATCTAGATTCCTTTTGTTCTCCTTCTATTGGTCCTTGGTTCCCATGTATAGGCATTTCTGCACATGCCCAAAATGCTTTTCTCAAAATAGATCAAACAAGTTTATACTATAATTATTTTATTTCAGGTATATACAAGTTGTATGAAATTCTGTTTTTTGTTGTATAAGATATATTAACTTAATCTCCAAACACTGCCACCTCTCTGGGGAAAAGATTATCAAGTGTATTGATATAATCCTGCAATGAAGCTCAGGTTTATATTCTGAAGTTACAATGTAATTCAGAAGGGCACAATATCAGGAGATTTAAATTAAAAATGATGGCAGAAGCTAATGATAGCAATAGTTATAAATTGGATACAAAGCTCCCTTTCAGATGAATTCTGAATTGTAAAGCGACTCGATGGCCTTATAGTGGAGTGTTACCTTAATGGGAATTCTTTAAAACTCTGTTTCAAAGGAATACTAATGGGATTCCCTGGAATATTTCAGTCTGCAAGAACTTGTCATTATCTTTACATTTCATTAGCATTCAATCCCTACACTGAAGATGTGTAACAAACATTGAAAATGCAAAAGGAAGATCTAATCATGATCTATTCAATTAGTTTCCTCCTGGCAGAAATTGATTATTGCGTTTATAGTAGTCAGAAATTGTAATATTTTAAAATTGCCATCAGACCTTACAGAATTCCTCACGTTCGCCCATAAAACACAACAGTTTACATCCTGTGAAGCTCTTTGGCACGTCCACCTGACATGGAAGCTACTATATAAAATGTAAGGATTATTACTATGTAATCACAAAGTATCATGAAAATATTGTATTTCAACCTGGGGATTGGAAGGGAATGTAAATTTTTTATCCTTCTACTGTTAATATTGAGAAATCTCTCCTGAAAATGCCAACTTGCTGGAGTACAGTACCACAATTCCCATCAGTATCCTGGAACCTCACACAAATGTTCATTCTTCAGGTAATGAATAAGTAATGAAAGGCTATTAAACCAATGGGAGCATCACTGCTATGCTTAATCCTATGCACACTATTAACACATGCATTTTCCATTAGGGGTCAATTGACGGAAATCAGGAACAGGAATCCTTTCAAGAGGAAGGGACAAGGTGGCTGAAAGCTGACCTGTCAATGGTCAGGGCAGTAGGTGGGAGGCATGAAGTAAGCAGAGTTGGTGAGCAGAGGGCATGGAAGGGGAGTACGATTGCAAGAGATTGTACAAATGTGGGTGTGGCAGTGCTATTTGAATATGAGGATCTTGATGGTCGAACCACTGGAGGATGGGGAGCCAGTGGAACTGGATGAGACAGACAGGCGAGGGTGGGTTTGATGGACTCAGGTGAGAATGTAACCTGAGGAGTTCCTCTCTCCTTGACACTCTTGCACTCTGTTTCCTGCTCGTTTCTATCCCATTCTCTCTCTCTGTCACCGCTCATATTCCAGACTCTATTTATAGGTCAAACCACTCATTTGTGGTATCAAACTATAAATCTCGTCTGTACCCTCTCTCGGGCCGGGCACAACTGAATACAATACTCTAACTACAGTCTGACTAATGATTTACACAAGTTAAGCATTACCTCTTTGGTATTATATTCTATGTGCCTACTTATAAAACCCATCAATGTGTAGGTGGTATGTCGCATGTGTCCTGGATAAAATCTGTGCTCTGACCAAGTTTGCTTTAGACCTTTGGAGTTTTGTCTGTCTAGTCGGAGAAATTTACAGCACAGGAGGAGGCCATTTGACCCATCAAGTTTCATAGCGCAGTTTTTTTTGGTTAGCCAGGTCACATGTGGAAACTGATTACCATGAGTATCCAAATCAGACAGAGTTTCACATATGCATGCAACCTACATTTGTAGGTTTTATAATTAGGGGGATAGAATATTAAATCAGAGCTAATATAAACACAGAAGTCGCTGGGAACATGCAACAGGTCAGGCAGCATCCATGAAGAGAGGAAAATGAGTTGACGTTTCAGGTCAGTGACCTTTTGTTAGAATTAGAGGAGGAGTCCTGTAGCTCAGTGGTTAGAGCACTCGCCTTGCAAGCGAGACACCTGGGTTCAATTCCAGGCAGAGCAAAACCTTGGGCAAGTTTCCTTACTCCACACGCCTAATAATAATCCCTCCAAAACAAAACAATAATAAATTGGTCATTTTCAATCCACGACTGTTTGTGGGACACTTCTGTGCGCAATTGGCTGCTGAGTTTCGACAACAAATATACTGTCAATTCACTTTACAGTCTATTCTGTGAAGCGCTTTGAGACGTCGAGAAGACCTGAAAAGCGCTATAATTAAATGCAAGGATTATTAAATCAGAGCCAATGTTTAACTTGTAAAGAACTGGTCTACACACTCACAAAGCAACTTATAAAAGGCCTACATCACCATCACACCTCCTGCTCCAGCTAAAACCCTCAGCTATGCCTTTTCATCTCCAGAATCACATTTCCAATACTCTTCTCTTCACAAGTTCTAAATCATCCAGAGAGAGTTACCGCCCGAGAGGGGCACAGAGAAAGAGAACAGTCAGCTAGTGAAAAAGGTAGAGAGAGAGAAAGGTGGTACAGAGAGTTGTGATACATCCTAAAATAATGATCTGGGTTTACCTTTTCAATACCATTTAAAATTTTGTACACCTCAATGAGGTCCCCTCCCCTCTGAGTTGTCTTCTATCAAGACTGAAGAGCCCTAGCTTGTCTAATTCTCTTTGATCTCTCTGACCTACTATCCCCCTACCTACCTGCCCGTACCCTCCGTTCCTCTGGCTCCGGTCTGCTCCACATCCCCTGCCCCAACCGCCCTACCATCGGTGGCCGGGCCTTCAGCCTCTCAGCCCCGAGGCTCTGGAACTCTACCCCCAGTGCCTTCGCCGCCTCCTCCCTTTCCTCCTTCAAGGCCGGTCTCAAGACCTTTCTCTTCAACCGTGCCTTCAGCTCCCCTCTCGACTCTCTACCCCTTCCTCGCTCCCTCCCTTCCCTCACCCTGACCATTTACCCCCTGCTCGGGTCCTGACCCAACTGTCCAGCACCTTGGGACGTCCTCCCGACGTGAAAGGCACTCTATAAATGGAATCTTGTTGTTGTTGTAATTGTTACTCATAGTTCAAAGTAAGAGAGAGTGGGGCACAGAGAGAGAGGGGGAGAAAAGAAAGAAAAGAGCAAAAGAGTGTAATTGAGCGAGTGAGTAAGTTGAACAGAGAGAGTATGCAAGAGTCCTGTGGACCCACGAGAGCAGATGTTGGTTTGACTTTATGCTGTGCACATGTGCAGCAAGCAGGAAGTGGTAGCTATTTTCACAAGTGATATCGGCAGCTGCAATTTTCACATCAACGGTGGACATATTCATCATAAGTGCTACCAGCAGCAGGTTTTTCCTTACATTGGATACCAGCATACAAGGTCCAGCAGGTCATGCTTATCCACTTACTCTAAAAGCAAAAGAAGTCCAACACCCCTGATCCACAAAGTGCGGCAGTTGTTTTAAAAGGAAAGAAATGTTCAGGTGCATGAGCAAGCAAAATGTCTCCTTTGATAACTATAGACAAGTAAACAAACCTTCTTGATCTGCAATATATTATGACAAAGGAGCAATAGTAAATGAATGTAAGCCTTGCCTCGTCTCTGTGCTATCTGCAAGTATCCTGTGGACAAGTATTGCTCCAGATCTTGCTGAAAAGCTTCTTCGAAAAATTTCTGCCGCTCTTTCAGCTTCAGCTGCTGTGTGTTCTCCATATCTAGCACCTTCTGTGTATGTTCTCCATCCAGTTCAGCTGCAGGAGAAACAGCAGAAAACAACTTAGATCAGAACAATTATAACCAGAAGACGAGCTGCTCAAGTTACAGGACTCCTAGATCAGAAACATAATCATACCAAAGGATCTACTCAAAGTAGAATACTGAAACAAATAATCAACTAGCAAAACTTTAATTGCAAATGACCTTAAAAAAAAACTAATTGAGGTTCCTCAATGTTTTACAGAATTCCATCGCTGAATGTTTTTTCCACAAAGTGAAATCACTCCCAGAAGCAGCACAATAGTCCTCCAACTTTTTGTGCACATATAGCTGGAAGCAATTGGTCTCTGATGCTAAATTAACCATTTACTTAGCTTTGCTTATTCAAAGTTTTTTTTAAAAAACGTCACAGCTTTCACAAAATTGGGAGGGGAAAAAAAGACCAATTGTGTGTCAGTACAGTTGTGGGTTTAAATCCTACATCGGACTTGAACTCACAGTCCAGGTGTCCAGGCTGACATTCCAATGCAGTGCTGAGAGTTGAGCTGCATTGTTGGAGGTATTGCCCTTCAGACAAGATGTTAACCTGAGGTCCAATCTGCCTCTTCAGGTGGAAGTTAAAGATCCCACGGCACTATTTGAAAAGACAAGGGAGTTTCTCCCATTGTCCCGGCCAACAATCCCCCAATAATAATATTGGACGTTCACCCGATGGCTCTTAGTGGGACACGGCTGTGCAAACTTATTGCCATTCCCACCTACAAAATGATAGCTACAGTAAATCCCGTGAAGCGATTTGACAGTCTTCCCATGTGAACGGCACTATATCAAATACAGGGATTATAATTTCTGTTGTAGAACTTCAAATCTGAATTTCAATATTCACCAAACACAAATATTATTATCTTTAAAAGGCACACTTTTTACAGTGTGCCTTTTTGGGTTCGCAAACCTGGCTGTGAAATCATTTTGAAGAACTTGTGATATCATTACCCTCCCCAAGTTCCATAGACAGAGTGTCACCATAGTACATCATCTGTATTGATAGCAAGGCTTGCAAACCCAATGCAAGGAGAATGAGTATCTTTGTTAACTTATAAGAACTACCATTAATTTTTGTGCAAATACAGCTTGAAGTCTTTTCATTACAAATTCAGTTACAGACACTTCATTGTTTTGGCTACAATTCTGTGTCACAAGGAGCGTTTCCCCCCTAGCCTTTTGGAGTAATATACATACAGTATTGTACTTTTAGTGTTTTCCATTTTGTTTATTTGGTAATGTTGGCTATTTACTACATCTGAAAGCATTTTGTTTTGCAGTTTTCTTTTTAAAAAATTGCTTTTCTTTACTTCATGTTGTGCACACATACATCATCTCTTTCGAGTTACGAAAATCCAGTCCCAAAATGCCCAGATAACTGCAACCTACTGTAATTTTTATTTGAATTCAATTATTGACAACATAGCTTGGTGCTGCAGTAACATTTCATGTGGGTCATTTGAATTTTGAACATTCAGATACTAAGTTCATGCAGATCAAATACTAGAGTGAAAATTAGAGCAGGCTCTAGTCCATTGCCCTTCTAGATCCAGATACATTACTAACCTGAAATACATTTAAATCATTTTCAAATGCAGTGGTTTTCAACCCCTTTTTTAAAAAAAAACTGTACATCTTCTGTCTGAAGGTTGCTGCTCAAGTTTACAATTTACAATTTGCACTCTATTGAATGGTACCACAGTTGCAACAAAACACAGAATAATCTGATTAACAAATTATTTTTTCTCCCTTTATTTGTTATATATATCAACAGTTTGAATCTGATCAACTGCTGGTTTATCCTAAGACAGAATGCCAATCAGTAAGGCTGAAAACTATTAATTACAAGTCTTTGGAACCAAAAGACAGTATTTTGGAATCTTTTCGGAAATGTTTTTTGTGGAGCGGAATAATATTTCCATAAAAAAATAGTGATCAGGGTAATTTGTCTGGCTGAATGAATTGCTGGTCAGTTGCAACGCCAAATCTTACGAGACCAAATGGGACTGGTAGGTTATTATAGATAAACAATGTTAGGTTTGTGAAGCTTGAGAAGGTGTTGTACAGTGTCTAGTCCCGCGCTGCACTCGACCAGCACTAGCACGCTGCCTGCATCACAACACTCTACTCCCTCCCCACATGCCACATGCCATAGCCAGACACTAACTGAGCATGTCCTGCATACCCCCTATGATCCTTAGAAGTACTCTGTGAGAACCCCTGCTTTAATACACTGAATTTGTTGCAGAGCAACTTTTCTACTGTTAATCTGTATTACATTGGTTGACCTCCATTCACCAAATACTACTTGTGCAATCAATTATTCACAGTAAAAACACAAATATAAGTATTACCACAACCTTTGTAGGCACAGCTGAGGAGGAAAATCTTCAGGTTCAACTTGAACACAGATAATAATAACATAATAATCTTTGCATTTGTCATAGTGCCTTATGTCTTTGAGATGTCTCAAAGCGCTTCACAGAATATACTGTAAAGTGAATTGACTGTATATTTTGTGGGTAAAATGCGGCAGCCAATTGTGCACAGCATTGTCCCACAAACTGTTGTGTATTGAGTGACCAAATTATTATCAGTTTTTTTTATGAAGCGGTTATTACCCTCGGATAAGTCATCCACCAATCGAGCGAGAGGATCCGGGTTTGATTCCCGGGCAGGTCAAAACTTCGTCTCTGCAAAAGGCTTCTCCTCGAGCCCCCGCACCGTCTCGTGCAGCGTTCCTCAGGGCTCTGTCCTCAGTCCACTCCTCTTCACCCTCTACATGCTCCCCCTTGGTGACATCATCCGCAGACATGGGGTAAATTTCCACATGTATGCGGATGACACCCAACTCTATCTCTCTGCCTCCACCCTCAACTCCAACACTACTGGCGTCCTGACCGACTGCCTGTCTGACATCAAGTTCTGGACGAGGGACAACTTTATCCAACTCAACGTCAGCAGGACCGAGGCCCTCCTGATTAGCTCACACCAGCGCCTCCACACCTCGGGCGCTGGCAGCATCAGCCTCCACGGCTGCACACTCAACCTCACTAAGCCAGTCAGGAACCTGAGTATCTTGTTTGACCCTAAACTGTCCTTTCTCCCCCACATCCGGGCCATGACCGACACTGCCTACCACCACCTCCGCAAACTTGCCAGACTCCGCCACTGCCTCACCTCTCAGGCTGGCGAAACCCTCACCCACGCATTCATCACATCAAGGCTCGATTACGGGAACTCCCTCCATGGCCTTGTCCCCTCCTACCTCTCTGACCTGCTGACTCCCTATCAACCTGCCCGCTTCCTCCGTTCAGCGGGCTCCGGCCTGCTCCATGTCTCCTGCCCGACCCGCCCTATTATCAGTGGCCGGGCTTTCAGCCTCTCTGCCCCCACGCTCTGGAAACTCCATCCCACAGTCCCTTCGCCTCATTTCCTCCCTTGCCTCCTTCAAGGCCGGGTCTCTCAAGACCCTCCTCTTGGATTGTGCCTTCAGTCGCCGTCCCACCTCTCTACCTTCCCTACCCCACCCCTCTGCCATGTTTGGGTCCTGACCCTCGACTATCCAGCAACTTGGGACGTCCTCCCAACGTGAAAGACGCTCTATAAATGTAATGTTGTGGTTGTGGAGCTGAGAAATTAGGGGTGCACAGAAGATCCAAGCTGGCTGAGGGTAGGGGTGGGTGTGAGGAGGTTGGAGAGTTAGGAAGGTGTTAGGGCACAAACTGATTTGTAGGCGTATTGAGGATGTTGAAATCGATCTATTCTGTAACAGGGAGTAAATATTCGCCCACAAATATACGGTCAATTCACTTTACAGTCTATGTGAAGAGCTTTGAGACGGCGAGAAGATGTGAAAAGCGCTATATCAAAATGCAAGGATTATTGTTATTATTATTATTATACTATTATTATAAATGGAGCTTGTCGAGGACTGGTCTGATGGGGATGGAGAGTTCTGAATTAGTTAGACTTTGTGAATGGTAGAGCTGGGGAGACCACCGAAGAGTGCAATGGAGAAATCGAGACGGGAGGTGTTGAAAGTCTGGATTAGGGTCTCAGTAGGGTCATCACCCCATCACCCCAGTGCTCGCCAAGCTCCATTTAATCCCTGCTGTGGAATGGATAAGGGAATAAATTGCCACCAAAAGTAAAAAATCTATTAATTGTGTAAAGCTCACTCCAAGTCTTGAGGCCAGAGATATTCCTTAACTAAAATATTACCAAGTAGATGATAAACTAAGTTCATTCCCACAGAGCCAAGTTTAACATGCTGAGTAGGTATTCTGAGACCTCAAGTGTTTCAGGAAAAAAACAGGGTCAAGCTGGCTATTACAACATGCAGTAAAACTCCTATTTTAGTTTTTCAAACGGGTTATTAAATATAATCATTGCATTTGTTATTGGGTTCCCTCCGCCCCCCTCCCACACAGCAACAGTAGTTGTACTACGGAAGACTGCGCAACACGAGGAACAGGCGAGAAAGGCACATTCTCATCGATTCAGTGCAATATACTGAAGGGCAGGCTTTTGTGGAGACTGTAGGGGAAGGAAGGGAGACTTGCTGCTCCGAGGGAAACCCGCGCAGCCGGTTCTCAAAACACCTTTTCCCAAAAGATTGGGGACAAATGTCATGCTGAAAGTGTACTAACAGCATATACTTTGAAACTGTAGTTCTTCAGGAGGATGGAAGCCCTAAAGGTTGAAAACAAATCTTATTCATCCTTAAGATCACTGCAACTGGTAGCAAGCTCATCCTTCAGCCAAGCCACTTCAATAACATATAAGAAGTTAGCCATGTTGCACTTCTTAAGGCGCTTCTTTAGATACTTGAGTGCCATGAGATGTCGGAAATTACTCAAAGACTGAACATTGCTGGGAGTGAGATACAAGATGAGTGTTTTGAATAAATCTTCTGGGACACAAGACTTATGGAAAGAAATGTTTCAATGCCTGTGATATGGAACTCAAGTAATCTAGTCATGATTATATT